TATACATGCACTTTCACGCGCTCATGCTCAAATATGAGTCAGGCTCATCTTCAGCATTTTGGTTCTGTGACATCAGCTGTAGATATACTGGTGAGCTTATCATAACCCAAAAAGCAGGAGACAGGAGACAACTCAAACTTACTTACAATGACATTTCCACAATGCACACAGGTTTCTAAGCAATGTGCAATATGCATGAAGAAAGTCTACTGATGCAGAGAACAATGAAAACAACTGATGTGGGACAGGAATTAACATAAGGTGCCTTCCAGTTGCTACTACTACCTCTGGTCAGCATTTCAAGTTAAGATCCCTGGTAATCTGAGAAGCAATATTCTCAGTACACTGAGGCTTTGAGGAGCTATGATTCATTGGACCATAGCTGCCTGAGGACTTTCTGAACGTCACCACAAAATGTTCTTTCTGCCTCTCTTGGGAAACAGTCAATTCAAAATTTTAAATTCCCAAGGGCAAGTCTTAAAGGTTCTTCACTTTTAAAATTACATTGCCATAATTTCTATTTGAGATTTTTTTTCGTTTTAGGCTTCAGTATTCATTCTTCAAAGCTGTTCTAAAAAAGTATTTGTAACAGGTAGAAAAGTCAACATCTCTTTGGTAAAGGACAGGGATGCAACCATTCCCATTCCTTGCATCTATTTTTTTTATCCATGTCAGCCACAGGAGCCACTATTAAGACTAATTTTTCTGAAAAGTAGAGGGCAAAACAGAAGGGATTTGAGATACCTCAGGTATTACATGGATGAGCAAAGATACATTTTGTACTGAAAAACTATGTCAGAGTGCAAGTATGAAACAGCTGAATGTAGCACAGGCATGATCACAAGGATGGCCCTACCACATTAGACTGTCAGGTTTCAGCCACACAAATATGAGGTCTATCAGAGAGAGAAATGGTGAAGGGTGAAGAATTCTCATTCGACTTGACACCAACAGTCTGACACCAGCTACCAAAATGTTTTATTTAGGTACTTCCATACACAAATACAGTTGCCTAGGGTACACATGGTCCCCAGGGTACTGAACTAGGATCCAAGTCACAGTAGTCTCACTAATAAGAGACCACTTTGACCCCAAAACACATCCAGTGTGAGAAAACAAGACACATCTCTTTTACAATCAACTGAAACACGCAACCAGCATTACTTGACAGCTGGTTTAACAACTTTCTTGAGTGTGTCACATGCCAATGAAGTCAAGAGGGTTTAAGGAAATGCAGGCATTCTTGGCTAAATTAACACCAGTCACAGAATTCTGTAGCACACCCAGAAACTCTTCATGACGTACAGGCAGGAACTCTAACCACAGTGGGCTGTACATCCTGCAAGGTCTGGCAACCTCCTTGTTCTTCCCATGCGTTGCTGTGGACTGTGTCTGTCCTCGTTTTCCATCTCCCACAGGCGACCTCACAGCTCGCTGTTTCCAGACAGCCCTCACTCTGAAACCCGCAAGATCGTTCAGCAGTTTTAGCTGGATTGCTCTGATGCAAAGCGCCATCAGGTTATCCCACGTGTAAACCGGCAGCCAGAGGCTGTCCCGACGCAAGGGTGCTCGTTAAGAAGGCGAACCAGCGCAGGACACTACCGACACCGACACGGACCACCCCACGCTCAGCCCCTCGGCTGGGAGATGGCCAGCTCGACACTCCGCCCGCGGCAGGAGGTGCGCGGTGCCCGGGCAGGAGCGAATGAAGGCCCCGGCCCCGGCCTGCAGGGCGCGAGGGCGGCGCAGCGGTCTTTAGCCCCAGGGGAGCCCGCGCCTCAGCTGGGCTCAGCCCCCCGCCGCAGGGGCGGGCGTGGCGGGACCGCCCTGCTGGGGGCGGAGCCGTCCTTCCGGCTCGGACTTTGATGCGCTGGGTTCCAGCGCCGCCGCTGTGGCCTCAGCGCGGGGTGAGGTGACCGCGGAGTGGGGTCGCGCGCCGGCCCGGCCCGGCCCGGCCCGGCCCGGCCTGGCCTGGCCTGGCCTGCACGGCATGTCGGGGCGCCCGGAGGCACCGGGGCCGCTGAGGCCGTGCTGCCGGGGGGGACGGGGCGGGAAGTGCGGCACCGGTGACAGCGCAGCGGAGGCGGGGGGTTGCGGTGGGAGCTCGACAGAGCTGCCGGTGGCCACGCCGGGACGCCATGGGGCCGGAAGGGCTGCGCGGGGTCGGTGGGAGGCGACGGCTGGCGTAGCGCTGGGGGGTAGGGGCGCATGCGCCTGGGGCGCCGCTGCGGGACCGGTGCTGGGCAGGGCGGAGGGGGGAAGGGAGGAAGGGCGGTGAGGCTGCGGCCTGGGCGGGTGGGAGTGCAGGCTTGGCGGGGGGCCGCCGCGGGGAGAGCCGCGCCGAGGGCCGTGAGCACGGCTGCCTTTGGGGACCTGCGCTTCTTGCGCCGGGGAGGGTGCGCGGGAGCCTTCCCCCGCGGAGCGGAGATGAACGGCCGTAGGCGTGGGGGCGTGCAAAGCGGGGAGAAGGGAAAGGTTGTCCGCGGGCGGGCAGGCCGGCCGGCAGGGAGTTTTGCGTATGGGAGGTGTGTTGGGGGAGTGCCCTGGCACAGGCGGGTGAAACAGGCCGGCAGAGAAAGTGACCCTTCCCACGCGTGTGTTGCGTGGCGGAAGGTTTCTCCGTGCAGGGGCGTGTGTACGTGTGTGTGTGTCGGGGGCGTACAGAGGGAGTGGCACCGTGCAAGTGAGAGGGTACGGGGGAGCACATCCTGCACTGAGGTAACAAAAGTATCTATAGACTTGCGAGGTGCAGAGGGGGCGATCCCACGTACACACAAGCAAGAGGGACAGTTGATTCTGTTTTGGGGGGAGGGAGCGGAGAATGGTGGACAAGGTGTTTCACCGCATCACAGGGTAATGTGTGCACGGGGTGATACTGAGAATGCTTTCTCCCCTCACACGGAGTGGAAGGAGGCTGTTGAAAGACTTGCTTGTGCACATGGTCACCTGCATAGGGCTGCAGAAGGGCACAGGTGTGTGGATGCAGGCAGTACGGAAGCAAAGGCGCTGTGGATAAAGAGGGTGGCAGGAGTGCTGGTAGATGGAGTGGGAAGAGTTTTGGGCAGAATAACCAATATGGGTACTACATAGCAGAGCAGGTGGGACGGCCGCATGATTCCACAAGCACGCTGGCGTAGGCAGAGTGCAGAGATTGTAAAGAGAAGTATTCCAGGCTCTTTGATTTTGAAAGTAATCGCTTCAGAACTATGAATGTAGAATACACAGGTGATATATATATTTTTTTTAAATTTTTTTTTTGTGAAATATCAATAAAGGAGTCTCTTTTGCACTTGAGACTGCTAGCAGAAATACTGGCTATTTGGTTGCTGTAAAATCTGGCCCAGAATTTCCCAATCTTAAAAAGTCCTTAACCTCTAATAGTCTAAAAGCCTTAAGATGGGATATGGAAGAGCAGTAGACCAAAAAAAATTGAGATTAATTACTTCGCATAGTCCTTCATGGAGCACTGTTTTATTTCTTCTTTCTGCTGAAGATTGCTAGTCCTAGCAACATGGAAGAGATGGACCTTGGAAAAGGAAGGTAGATCCCAGACTAGAGAAGACTGTGTAGGTCAAACTAAGTATATCATTGAACACCTACAAACTAAGAGGCAATTGTTATTGATTATTGCAAAGAATTTCAGTTCTGAAAAGAAGTGATTAGCCTGCAAAACTTGTTAAAAATACTAAAATCATAGCGGTAAAAAACTTAAAATTATGTAGCTACGACATTACAGCTCTGCTTGAAGAAATAGAGTGTTAATGTTTGAAGAGGCTTTGCCATTACTTATTGACAGTGAATGCTACCTGAAAATACAGAATTATTTTTGCCCTTATAGTCTCAAAGTAGGTCATAGTCAAGATAGAATTCTGTTTTTAAATGTGATGTAGCAATACATCACATTTCTTTAGAAGTCATCATACGACTTAACCCAAAAAAACAACAAACTGGTTTAATTAGTGGTAAATTTCCCCATGTAGCTGACAGTTATATTGGAGTGTTATCAGCCCTTTTGCTAGTTGTGGTTTTTTTTTTGTTTGTTTTTTTTTTGCTTGGTTCTTCAGAAAAATCTGTGTTAAAACTGACAGCAATAGAAAACTGTGTCTGCACCAAGGCCTGTGTGTGGCTTACTTGCAGCTTTTTGAAACTGTTGTGTTACAGAGGTTTAAGGCAGTATTAAAAATAATTCTGCTTTGGGGCTTACTGTAGCCTATTGTTAACAGAAGTTGAAATGCACAAATAGCATTAATTACTTTTGATTCTGGTCAGTTCACATGTTTTTAAAGTATCTCCCCATCTATCTCTAAAATTATTTCAAGAGACTGTTATTGCAGCCAATAGCAACTGTAATTAAACGTGGTCTGTGTGGCCAGAAAGATGTGTGGTCTAGCAGTTCAGTTCTGATAGTTCTGTTATGTAGTTATGGTGAACTATGAGATGTTATTTTTCTTACAACTTACAGACTTAATATCTTATGAGGTGGTCTTTTCTGGATTTGGATTGAAGGGTTCTAGAATTTTAGACACTGCTTGAAGATCAAGGAGGACAGAAAACTATTCTGCTTCTTAAAAGTCTGCTTTGCACAAGTGAAAAGATAACTGCTTTGTCAGAGGGGACATGATGATTCTAGCTCAGGCAGGTAACTTGGAGTAAGCAGACTTTGGGGAAGGTCATTTTGTTACTTCCTTGTTCTGTGCCCTTTTACTTAGGCTTCTCAGTTTTTATAGTATAGGATGTGTATGCAGCAGTGGCTGACTTGAAAAGTCTTGTGAGGGGTTGGCTTCTAATTATACTAACATTAGTCATGGATCTTCAGAAACAAGCTTATAGGGGTGTCAGTAGTGGCCTTCACATCTTAAACATGTTTTTATTTGAATTAGTGGCTGGTTTTACATATGAAATGACAGGATGTCTTGCTCAGAACCATCTCCTAGCTAATGTAGTTTCATGTTTTACTTGGTGATAGAGGATAATGTGCTCTCTGAACTACCTTTACACAGCATCTAGCATCCTGCAAAGTGCTCTCTCTACATTTTCAACATGAGGTACTGAATTTCCTACATACATTTAAAGTATTTCAAGCCTGTTGGAAAAAGAAAGACAAGATTAAATTTAATCAGCCATCATATACGCATATAACTGCAGATGTTTTCAGCATGAGGAAATAACCAGTTTGCCTGAAGGATTATCATCTGGCCTTTTGAAAGTGTAAAACAGTAATTGACACTACTTTTCAAGTAAGATTCAAATGTAAATTCAAATGAAGGGGCTCAATGTAAACCAAACAATATCTGTTTCTGTATAGATATATACAGTTCTCCATAGAACTCAGCTTAATTTGTCACGATAGCAATCAAATGCTGAAATTGCAGACTGTATCTATTCTACTGAAGTTGGTTAGCATAGCCATAGCTGCTTTGCCTGACTAAATGAGCAATGCCATTTCTTTTCTGCTTAGTCACAGCAGCTGTCCTTGCTTTTTGCCACTTCAGTTTTATTCTGAAAGGTGATGTAAACGACTCAGGAATCATAGTTGTTGGAGTTAAACTTGAATAGCATCACTGCCAGTCATAGTTTTGCAGAGCCATAATGGATTGCAAGTGGAAACTTGAAATGTCTCTTACCTTGGACAACTTGGGATAGATTTCTGATCATCCAAACACTACTATTACTGCAAAACTGTGTTTCGTTACGTCTGATAAAACCTGAACTCATTTGTGTTAAAAATAGGGAAATTGAAAAGTTGCTGAATTTTGTAAGCTGTGTAAGAGCCTTTCTTCTAAAAAATTACTGAAAACAAAAATTTGAACATAATATAAAAGTCATTAAATTGGATGCCAGCATTATCACGCCTGCATAGCAGCTGCTCAGAAAGAGCTTCTCGAGCTGTCAAAACCATTTGAGAGATTGATGTGGCTCTGAGTCAGAGGTAAGCAATCTTTGTGCATTAATCTGGAAAAAGATTACTTGCCATTAAAATGAACTAAAAATCTGACATTCTGGTATGAAATCTAATGTTACTTACTTAAAATAGTTATTTTTGGAACAAGAAAACCAGAAAGATTATAAATAGGTGGTCAGATACCCTCTGCTGCCAATTTAATAGTTTCTGAGGGAGAGGAAATTTGGATTATTTGGGGGGAGTATTGTATCCTTTTTTAATAGGCTTTTCTTTTTCTCCAAAGTTTTTGCAGACTGTTAAATGAAGGGGGAAAAAAAAAAAAACAACTGAAAAAAACCACCAAATCGAAACACAATAAAAACAGCAAGGCAAAATGGTGAACTCAGGATAGGTAAACTTTAAAAATGATGACATGACTTAATCAGCTACTAAACAGGCTGGATTGGTTTAGGATAACGTTTTGTAACAGTAACTGTTTGTTGATGTTGCTTGTAAAAATACTAAGTTTCTGGGGCATTTCAATTGCCAGAAACTTTTTTTTAAATAGCTTCCAAATTATAGTCATCATCATTATTTGTCTACTTGTCTTGAAAAGTTGTTGTAACCTACTATTGTATTATTGCATATCTTGTTTTAGTCAATGTTTAACTGACTTTACGTCAGCAAAGTGTATTTAACTAATATGTAAACTGACTTGGGCAAAAACTTCCCCTTTTTGTTCACGCAGCCTGTCAGTGAATGTATTTTTTAGCAGTTTGTTCCATTCCATGGTTTCGGAATATGAGATTTTTTTTCTTTCATTTACTACGGCATTAACATTTTTTCCACTTATACAGAAGTTTCCATCTGAACAGGAAAAAGTTGTTTTACTGTTTAATTACATAATTGAACTTCATAATACTTATATATTCCATATATAGAAATTTTATATATTATTTACAGAAATAGAAATATTAAAATTAAGTGGGGTTTAACTAAAAAAAAAAATCTGACCTTTTCTAAAATCATTCTATGATAGGTACTGTAAGGTTTATCAATGGATGAGTTAGTATGTGTCCACAATTCTGGGCTGCCCTTGTGTATGCTGTTCAAGAAGTGTATCATTTACTTGCTATAAAGATTACTATTAATACTGCTGCTTTTTTTTTTTCCCCCTTGTTGTTTCAGGAAGTGTATTTCAAGAATCTTTCAAAACAGAAACAAAAGGAAGTCATGGAGAAGAATGGAAACAACCACAAACTTCGTGTTTGTGTTGCTACTTGCAACCGTGCTGATTATTCAAAATTAGCTCCCATTATGTTTGGTATTAAGGCAGAACCACAGTTCTTTGAGCTTGATGTCATAGTGCTTGGTTCCCACCTGATTGATGATTATGGGTAAGGCAAATTTTTGTATCTGCCAATCTGTTTCTGAGGTGTTAGCGATAACATCATGACCGTTAGGTAACAAAATACTTGTCATCATTAATGTACACAGCAAAATTTTAAATGTATTTTTCAGATTTTATTTAATTTTGCAGCTCCTTCTGAAACCGCATGTTTCTGAGTTTTTTCCAACAAATCTTGGAATTTTAGAAAACTTTGTGTAAATGCTGTAACTGAGATTGCTCAGTTACAATCTGAAGAGATGCTGTAACTTCAACATGATCACAGACTTTATGAACTGAGAAGCTCAATTCATTCAGATTTCTGTAAGAATTTGGTGATTATCAAATGAAAATGTGCTAAAGTTTTTAATTTTCACAGAGAAAAGGTGATCTTTAGTCATTTTAAGTTGCAATTCTTCTACTTTGTGTAGCTATTGGAGAAAGTACTTAGTATTCCCTTGGGATATGAAATAAATGTTAGTTCTTCCTTCAAGGATTGTGGGAGAAGGAAAAGGTGGTTGTCTCTTTCTGAGTAAATTAATAACTGATAGAGATATTAGGTATGGTTTGGCAGGAGAGATTAGGGTCCTGTCTGTAACACCCTATAAGTAAGCAGTCAGATCACTTGCCTGGGAGGATGGAATGTCTTCATGCAAATTCCTTCCTCTGGAAGGCCTTCCCACATCCCAAGTGATTATTCTTCCATTTTGTGGGGAAAAGGCAAAAGGAATGGCAGGCATATTCTTGCTGGGTTGTGGTCATTGTTTGCTTGTACAAGATTTGGCCCAATCAAGTCAAATAGGTTGGAAAATACTGACTTGGCAAGTCAAAATCAGAATTTAGCATAAGGCTTGCAACGTATCAGCAGGTTGAACTTTTAGAAATGTTATGCATATCTTCAAGTAAAGACATTTTTTAGACTTTCCAATGAGGAATTCTGGCACTTTATAAGTTAGGGTGTGAGAAAGTTATACTATCTCAGCTACTAAGACAAGAAGTTCCACTGCTGCCTGTTCTCAGTACAGAATCACATGGGGTTGGAAGGGACCTCTGGAGATCATCTAGTCCAACCCCCCTGCCAGAGCTCTGTATAATTATATATAATGCTCTGTTCCTTGCTTTGGATGTTGGCAACATGGCAACATCAGAAAACTAACCTGATTTTAAAAAAACAAACTTCTAACTAGCTTAGCATATTGAATTGCATTGTGCCTGACTGGAGAAATAAGTTAATCCCAAATTAATTTGAGGAAGAGGAGAAGCATAGCCCTGATTTTTCTACAGTTCTGAACCCTTTGCTGCCTGCAGAGCTTGTGCAAAGTAATATGAAATACTACTTTTCCAATTCAAAAGTGTTTTAACACCTGTCTCTCTGATGTAAATTATTTCTAATGCACAAAGCAATACAGATTTTGATCTGACAATTGTTGTTGCTATTAGTTGCTTTGTGGTAAGCATTTTTAAACCCTGGTACTGCTTGGGTTTTCTTTTTCAGTACCTAGCCCTGCAGTCCTTAATCTGCGGGACCCTAGAGGATTAGTAGGTCCTCAAAATGTGTGTGTTCTAATTATTTGAGTAGGGTAATCAACAGTGACAGAATTTAAATGATAGTGATCAGTTTCTTCCTGAAACGTTTGGAGGATAATAAATGAAACAAAACACCAAAATGCAATCTTGTTTGTTCCCTAGATTTTGAGCTTGCAGAAGGGAAATAATATAGAAGAAAATAGAAGAATTTTTTTGCTATAAACGTGCATATAGGGGAAGAACAAGAGTAATTGAAATGGAGTTGGTAATGTAATGCAGTTTATGCTATAAAAATCTGAGCCACTTTACTTGGTCACATAAGTTGATTTTTTAAAAAGGCAAATCCTTTTTACTTGCCAAGTTACTTGTAGGAAAATATCCTGTGTGTTACAGCAATGAGCAGAATTGAATAGATAGGTAGGGTTTTCTTTAGTTACACAGAATGGAAATTGCATCTTTACTTGAAGTGGAGCACTTCATAGTTGTGGCTAGCTTTGTTAAGCTTGCAGGTTGTAAGATTTCCTTTTGCAGAATGTGAGTAGCAGGGTGGATTTAATGAAAATTAAATCTGATTTAAATCAGTTGAAAAGTGAATGTCTCAGATGGGTTGAAGGCAAAATTGGAAAACTTGAGTTTTTTCTCTTATTCTAGCCAGAGCATGCAGACTGCTTAGGTCAGGTTTAGTGAATGTGGAAGACAGGTGATGTTATACTGAGGTGTGAACTTCCATATTTCAAATACATAACTGTAAACAGTAACAATTGTCAATATTCAAGGAATGTTTTAACTTTCTCATTATGGAATGAAGCTGGTAGTATACGCAGACAATCTTTTTTCGTTAGTGTCCTTTGAAATTCAGGCCATTTTGTACAGTGATCTCTTAAGTCTACAAGTATGTAAGTGTCAATACATCTCAAATACAGAATCTGAAAAGTGGATGCTAGCTGCAGTATGTTTTCCTTGAACATAAAGGCCTCAGCTTTGCATCATACCTGTTGTATTTATACATTTGTCCAGCAAAGCTGATAGATTGGTAAGGAGTCAACATACCTTTCCTGAAAGGAAGTTGTGCCATATCTGTTCTCTGAAAGGCTCCACAAACACGTGAAGAAAGCTTTTGATTTCTGAGGATTTCCAGAACATATTCAGCAAAGCTTCTCAATAAAGGTGTCTGGAAAAACTTGATGCTTGGATTATGAGGGAAGATCCTCATACGGATGAGAACATTCTGTAAAATTGTAAAAACAAGTTTCCTCAATGAAGGACCTGTGATAAGCAGGCCTTTTTTTTCAAACGCAGTACAACTATTCTAATATGTACTTATTTTGTCAAGCTGTGCTCCTGTAAAACCAAATTGTATTTACTCTAACTCTTTTCTTACCTTCAGCAATACCTATCGTATGATTGAACAAGATGACTTCGATATTCATACAAGATTGCACACCATTGTGAGAGGGGAGGATGAGGCAGCTATGGTGGAGTCAGTGGGCCTTGCATTAGTCAAGTTACCAGATGTCCTGAACCGCCTGAAACCTGACATAATGATAGTTCATGGGGACAGATTTGATGCTTTGGCTCTGGCCACATCTGCAGCCCTGATGAATATTCGCATTCTTCACATTGAAGGTGGGGAAGTCAGTGGGACCATTGATGACTCTATCAGACATGCTATAACCAAACTGGCCCATTACCACGTGTGCTGCACAAGGAGTGCAGAACAGCATTTGATAGCCATGTGTGAAGACCATGACCGCATCCTTTTAGCGGGATGTCCCTCATATGACAAGCTTCTTTCTGCAAAGAATAAGGACTACATGAGTATTATACGTGTGTGGCTAGGTGAGCAGTCCACTTCTTATGTTTTTCATTACTTCCAACACTATACAAACTCAGTAACTGGGTTATCAATCTGTGGTATCTGTTGACTAGTGGCCCTGAGAAAAGTACAGGAGAGAAAGATGAACTTCTTGCTAATAAGCTTACGTTTGCTTTATTGGAGATGATTATCAAGCATCAACCCACTTCTCAAAAAAAAGCAGTATATTTGGTAATACTATCTAATGTTTCTTTCTTTCTGCATTTTCTCTTGCTTTTGTTTTGTGTTCTACCACGTATAGCTGGAAAGCTGCAAATCTGTCCTAGTAAACACACCTGGTCCTTTCGCCAAATCAAAAAAGTATCTCCTTAAGTGGGTAATTTTTCTGAGCTGAACAATTTAAAAACAAAACAGCCTTACGTGAACAGTTATTTTGGTGTGAAGGATGTATTTAAATAGAATCAAAGAAAATTTAAGTAGAATCAAAGCTGTTCAAGGCTATTCTAAAAAAAAATCAGTGGGAATTTATATTAGGAACGTTATTTTGAGGAATGCACTGCAACAATGGGGGTTTGTGTTTGCTTTTTGTCTTTGACAAAGCAACCTCCTATATTGACCTGTGTAGTTGGAACCTGGAATTTTCTTAAATGAGTAGCTGAATATTTGGCAGATAAACTTCTTTATCAAATGTTCTGAATTATGGACATTTTTAAAGCAATGGGAATGAAGTCTTTGATTGAGGCTGGACAACAGACAGAAAACCTGAGCAGCTTCAGGAGTTTCACGTTACTCCAGACTTGCACTGTTTTGAGAACAGGCTCTTGACTCTGGTACAATCTTGCAAAGCTTTAAATATAGGCTTGCAAGTTAACAGTTTGTTGGGGTTTAGGTAGTGGTCTCTAAAGTTATGAGACTTCCTTAGAGAGGCAAGTAACAGGATAGATCCTTCTGTCACTGCCTTCAATTTTATAGTAGCATTAAAATTTATATGTTGGATATCCCATTCGGTGCCTTGACTCTTCAGGTTTTCATGTCAGTTGTTTCAAAAGTATGTCCTCCCTGCCTCTTACTGTTCAATGCCAATGAAAAAACTTTTTTTGGGCTCCATTTGGACAGGTGAAGATGTCAAAACCAGAGATTATATAGTTGCTCTGCAACATCCTGTAACCACAGATATTAAACATTCCATAAAGATGTTTGAGCTGACACTAGATGCACTCATCTCCTTCAACAAGAGAACACTTGTTCTCTTCCCCAATGTGGATGCAGGTGAGTGAAATACCTTAATCACAGAGAGACATATAACAGATTGTCTTTAAAGCATATATTGGTTTTTATGGAGTGCTTTTATCCCAGAACCTCCAGCCAGATGGAAATAGCTGGATGGTCTTACATCAGGTGTGCGTCTGCTGTAGCTCCATGTTCACATTGCTGGAGGACATTTCAGCTTTTCAGTGTGGGGAAGAAGATGAAGGGAAACCAAGTGACACATAGAAGCAATGTTAGTGCCTCTTAAATTAACTAAAGACTACAAAAATATTTTTGCAGTGGATTTTGGGATCAAACTTGGTCTTATGTGCCCAGCTCTGCAACTTACACTGTGAGGATAAATACAGAACAAAACCAACTCTGAGCTGGCAACTCAGTGAACAGCTATTTGCTCCTTCAGATGTTTTGATTTTCAGTTTAACGACAGAACTTGAATCATTTAGTCTACTTCTTGTTTTTCTGCAGGAAGCAAAGAGATGGTTCGGGTGATGAGGAAGAAGGGCATTGAACATCATCCCAATTTTCGGGCAGTAAAACATGTCCCATTTGACCAGTTCATTCAGCTAGTTGCTCATGCTGGTTGTATGATTGGTAACAGCAGTTGTGGTGTCAGAGAGGTGGGAGCATTTGGTACACCTGTCATCAACCTAGGGACACGTCAGACAGGAAGAGAAACAGGTACAAGTTTGCTTAACTACTTTGATTTCCCCATGGTTCTGAGTTTTTTTTTTCTTCCACGGGATAAAGTCAAATGAATGTTTGACCGAGGCCATATTGAAGTATTGGTGTAACATAATTTTTGACCCATGTTAAAGCTCTGCCAGCTATTCCTGTATCATGTAAGATAATGAGGCTATTATCTATAGACAAGTTAGAATATATTTGCAGTGGATTCTGTTTCACAGAATAGCAAACTCATTGTTTTCCTTTATAGCTAGTTTGATGTTTTACATGTATGACAATTTCACTTCAAAAAATACAAAATCTTCACCTGTTCAGGAAGTAACTGTATTGAAGTATTTCACGATACGCAGATATGACACAAACAGCTATTTACCTCCTGTTTTCATTTGTGCATTTTTAATTTAATAATTGAATTCTGCTGAAAGCTAGCATTCTACTTTGTAGTGTTTTGTAATGCGCAATCATAGGAGTCACCATTGCTTTACTGGGAGCAAGGGGAGGCATATAATTGACGAAGAGTGATGTTGATCTGGCTGGAGTCTTTCCTGCTCAGAGGAAAGAAAAATAATTATTTCTCCACTTCTAGAGAAGTTATTATCCTCTAATGTAATTCGAGGAGCTGATCTGTCCTATTATGTTAACTTTTGTAATCTAGGTGAAAATGTCCTTCATGTTCGTGATGCAGATACACAGGATAAGATTCTGCATGCTCTACAGTTGCAGTTTGGTAAACAGTATCCATGGTAAGTATATTCTTGCTTCATTGGAGGGGATTTTACAGCAGTAGATAAGTCCTGAGGTAGTTCATGATATTTGATTGGAGTGCTTTTAATGCACTAATCTGAGGTTATAAATTATTTTTCATTTCACGTACTTCATTCAGAATCATAATGCAGTATCTGGTATGCAGATTAGCATTTGTAGACCAAAATGTTACTTGTAGTGTTTTGATACGACTAGTAATTTAACATCCAATGGAAAGTCAAGAGGACAAAATTTATACGTTAGCTTAGTCTACCATGACTTCAGAGAGCTTGTTCCATAGGAGCAACATGAAGGAGAACATCCTCTCTGCCTACTTATGACTCATGCCTGCAGGACACACTACTTTATAGCTGGATTGACCTCAGGCATGTTATGAAGAGAATCCTGAGTGCAAGCTGCAGGATTATAGCAAGTTGGTTTTAGTTACTCTTCAGCTATACAGTATTGACCCTCAGTTCTGTAAAATACAAGTTCTTACACACTTCAAGAGATAACAGTTGTCTAATTAAGGATAAGAATCAAAAGTATATTTCTTAAGAACCTCAACAGAGTAAAAAAAAAAAACTAATTCTGTAATACCAAATGTCTGACACTGTGTATGATGATATTTTAAAATCAGACTTGCACATTGAAAACTGATGTGAAAGTAGTTTATTACATAGTTGTCATCTATGTGGTAGGTATATTTTGTCTGGACTTGTAGCACATACATAAACTTTCTATAATATAGAGCTTTATCATGTTGGTCCTTCATTTAACTCTTATTATTTTTTTCATCATTAGCTTTCCAGTTTGCTACATTCCATGCTTTGTATTCCAAAATGGAGCTAATGCCAAAATTGCACCATCTATTGTGTGATCTTCAAACTACTGACACTTATCTACCATATCCCATGACAGACTTGAGTAGCGTGAGCTGCAGCATTGTTAGTGTAGCCATATCATAATTTTATAAAGACATAGTGTTACAGCCTCTGTCATATGAAGGACTTTATAGATTGCAGTGTTACTTCAAATTACTTTTTTTTTTTATATTATAGCTCAAAAATATACGGAGATGGCAATGCTGTTCCAAGGATTTTGAAGTTCCTTAAATCTATTGACCTCAAAGAGCCATTGCAAAAGAAATTCTGTTTTCCTCCTGTCAAAGATAATATCTCTCAAGATATTGACCATATTCTAGAGACACAGAGTGCTCTGGCTGTGGATCTAGGTGGAACAAATCTCCGAGTAGCAATTGTCAGTATGAAGGTAAATATTCTGTTGTGCTTTAAGATATACTGCGAACTGCATTGGGCTTTGTGGTTCTGTTCCTACAGTGGAGATAAGGGCTTATAATGCAGAAGAGCTCCAAAACAAAGCAGTCCTACTGGCTTTTGCTGTTGAGGCGTAGAGCAGATTTTTCCTCATTTGTTGCTCTTCACATACAGTCTTGATACAACTTGCCTGCTGATTTGATCTTCTAAGACAGCTGTTAAACTAGCAAAGCCCATTTGCTGATACATGGTCCTGGCTGCTCCCTCTCTGTGGGATGTTGTAGAAACCTTGAAGAATAGGACAACTTTCAGATGTGTTGGTTCCTGATAAAAGGTTACTCAGTTCACCCTGCAACTTTTTATATGTCAAGCAAAAAAAGATAAAGGCTCCAGAAGCAGTCTTCTTACTTCCTCACTGCCTTATGCAGCCATGTAATAGACACAGAACCATTTTGAGCAACAACAAGCATCTAGCGAAGCAATTTACAGAGAGAGAGTGGTGGGTTCATGGTGGGTTCTTCTCTTCTACCAAATGAAGAACAGCCAGTAATCAGAAATTCTCAGTATCTTCCTGCATAGAAGCATAATCAGTAACACAGTACTGAGCCTCAGCTGGAAGAATGTTCACTGTTATGCCTCACACCAGAGGGACGTAGACCACGTGGAGGAGGGAAAGCAACAATAATCACTACAGACATGGCAAATGGGAAAAAGTTGAAGAAACTAGAATTGTTTAGTCTAGAAAAGAGGAAATTGACTGGAAAGGAAAAAAAAAAAGCCTTCAGATATTTAGAAGCCTCTTCCATGAAGAGAAAAATCAGATTCACTTCTGCATAAACAAGTAGTAAAGTCTTAAAATAGTGGAAGGGAAAAGTATTTTAAAGTTTTTATTGCCCAGCTTAGACATCAATGCAAGAGAATAGCATTGATATTGCATCTCTCCAGATGTTAGAGATAGTCTGGAAGGGTATGGTGTCTTCATTGCAGAAATAGTAGGAAATGGTTTAAAAAGGTCTTCTAACACCAGCTGAATTATAGTTTGTTGATCTTACATTGGAAGAGTGGTAGATTTGAGTTTTATGATGATCTAAAATTCCTATAAGGGTTTTTGTTTTGTTTTTGTTTTTTCAATTGTGTTGGCTGTGTCCTTTGATATATTAAAAGAGGTGCTTGATGGTTTAATACCATCATCAGAATATGTAGAATTGGATACATACACTAGAATTGATAGAGACTTTACAGATTGAGTGAGCTTTGAATCTGAAGTACCCCTCTTCTTGTAACGTAACCCATTTGAAATAGGCTTGAAGTTACAGCTTTGTAAAGGCTGTATGGAGAGATGTTCAGGTTTAGGGATACTGTGTGATTAATGGCCTCCATGTTTAGAAGTTCCTCAACCCACTTCTCTGGCACAGTAGGAAGCTTTCCATTCTGTTGCATGTGTCATAGCTTATAGTAATAAGCACTTCTGCTAATAAATATGCACACTTCCATAGCTTCACTAGTCATAGATAACATATTACAAAAGTTTAGTAGCTAACTTAGGATGATGAAAGTTCAAGCTTGGCAAAGATAACAAACTGAAGTCTTAAAGAACAGCGAGTGGGGCTACCAAAATGGTGTCAGTATCAGCCTGGTGCCGGATCACTTGCAGAGGCATCTTATAGTGAAGCAAGTAAATATACCCATGAGCATCAGCTGATTATCCAGATCACTATATTTTTTTAGAAGTAAAATTGACACTGTTTTCTGCCAACATAAACTGGGAAAAAATTAATTATAAAAAACCCTGTCCATTTTGCAGAGTGTAGCTTGACATGGCTTTTATAAAGTTGACATGTTAGCAAATCAGAGGTCAGACTTTCATATTACAATTTATGCAACAGATGTAAGCATTTAACAGGAAATGGGAGAGTTGAAGGTGTAGTATTATTTTCATTAAGAAAATCATAGAATCATAGAATTGTCTAGGTTTGAAGGTACCTTGAAGATCATCTAGTCCAACCATCAACCAAACTCTGATTAAAAAAAATAGTAATAATAAAAAAAACCAAAACCATGTCACTAAGCAGTATGTCGACCTATCTTTTGAATACCTCCAGAGATGGTGCTTCAACCACTTCCCTGGGCACCCAAATCCAATGCTTAATAACCCTCTCAGTGTAAAAATTTTTCCTAACATCCAATCTGAACTTCCCCTGACACAACTTGAGGCCATTTCCTCTTATCCTGGTGCCCATGACTTGGGAGAAGAGACCGACCCCCACCGCTCTACACCCTCTTTTCAGGTAGTTGTAGAGAAAATAAAGTCTCCCCTCAGCCTCCTCTTCTCCAGACTGAATAACCCCAGCTCCCTCAGCCTCTCCTCATAAGACTTACTCTCCAGACCCCTCACCAGCTTCGTTGCCCTTCTCTGGACCCGCTCCAGCACCTCGATGTCTTTTTTTGTGGGAAAGGGCCCAAAACTGGACACAGTACTCAAGGTGGGGTGTCAACAGTGCTGAGTACAAGGGAACGATCACCTCTCAGGTCCTACTCACCACACTGTTCCTGATACAGGCCAGGATGCTCTTGGCCTTCTTGGCCACCTGGGCACACTGCTGGCTCATGTTCAACCGACAGTCGACCAACACCCCCAGGTCCTTTTCTGCCAGGCAGCTCTCCAGCCACTCTTCCCCAAGCCAAAACAACTGAGTTTTCAAAGCTCCTTTTAAAAGGGGTTTTGTCTTCCAATGTTTGGTGCAGCTTTGTCTTATCTAAAATAACTTCATCTCATTCCTTTCCCCCTCCAAACCAAAACCAAAGAGGAAACTAAACATAAAAATTCCCAAACCCTGTTGCTGATGTGATTCTGAGATGGTGGGGTCTAATACTCAAACCATTAAGGTCTTGGAATTTTCCTTGTTATTTTGACAACAATGGCTCAGACATGTTGCATATAGAATTTGTTAGTCCTTTTTGATTAGTTATGTTAATACAATGCTGTTAACTTAGATATATTGTAGAGTATGGTGGCTATAATAGGGAGAATAACACTGCTAAGCAGCGTATGCAGTTTCCTGGCCTAATGCTGCAATATTATTATGTGCTCTAGGCAATCCTGCTTTAGCAGGGAAGTTGGACCAGGTGATCTCTAGAGGTCCCTTCCAACTCTGACAATTCTGTGATTAACATTACATTAAGATAGTTCCTCAGTACCCACAGATACAGGCATGTATAATAAATGCTTTCATTACCGGTGCATGACTCCTAGGGTTGAAAATAATCAATCCCTCCCTTGTATAACATACGTCGCAGTAGATGGTACTCCAGAACTATTTTAAGTGACTTGAAAGTATAATAACTTAGAAGAAAAGTTATTTCTGAAAGGATAGTAAATTCTGCATTCAAATTTCTAGATTTCTCTCTGGCTGACTGTCTTCCTGCAGGTAAAATAACCATGTCTGTGACACTATGCAAGATTTTCACGTAGGCAAATTGGAAACATTTTTTTCTTAATGCACAATGGCTTTTCTGTCCTTTTTAGCTATTGCTATTCTCACTTTCTTTTAACACTTCAGTATTGAGCTATATCGTGGTTAAGTCTCAACAACAGTTCTAGCAGCTCCTGTGATATTTCCTTGCACAATTAATTTGTTTCATAGAATATGTATTCTGTCTTGGACAGGGGAGGTTGATTACAGAATGTAATATCTAGTCTTACAAACTTGTCCCCAGAATTGTCTGGAATCTTGTGCAGAACAGACTCTAGGACCAAGATCTAAAGCGTGCATCTGTTTGGTTTTTTTTTTTAGAGGCAAGTTATGACTCTCCATTTTCAAGTTGACCTGTAGTTTAAATTGAAGAGAAATTTCACCACAAATAACATTTCTGTGGGGCACATTTTGTTGTTTTTAATTTCTAGGGTGAAATAGTTAAGAAGTATACACAGCTCAACCCTAAAACTTATGAAGACAGACTAGAATTAATCCTAAAGATGTGTGTGGAGGCTGCATCAGAGGCAGTAAATGTGAACTGCAGAATTTTGGGAGTGGGTAAGTAAACAAACTAACTTCATCTTTTCATCTAAGTTTTTCAACATGAAATGAAATCACTACTGATTAATTTAAAACACCTTTTTAAGATGGATCTTGTGTATTTTAAGTTCTTAAATTACATTCTTAACACAAAAAGTTTTTCAAATGTCTGTGAAAATGAGAAGCTGACTATAAAGATTGAAGTTGCCCCAGTCTCTAACAGCCATGAAAGCAATCTGCTAAATTATATCTAAACTCTATCTAAAATGTATGGTATATAGATTTTGTGGATTTTGAAGCTTCCTGCAGTCTCAGAATTGTGAGTCAGATGCTTAGTGTATATTGAAACAGCTCTTGAAACAACTGCAGCTGAGTCAAGTTTCCTCTACTGTCTGTAAGCCTTTCTGTATGGCCAGAATCAACTGTGCAGCAGAATTCTTAGTTACACTAGGGCAGACTAAAAATGCAGCTAACAGAGACAAAAGCAGCCTTTTTGTTGACTTCTGGTTTACTTAGACTGTGATAGAGTTCCCTGTTAAACTCTGTGTTTATACCAGAAAGGACTTCTTCAATTTAAAGATGACTGGAAGCTTTGCTCTTAAATATTAGTTATTTATAAAGGTGTCAATTAATGTGTCCTGGATTTTTAAGGAGGACATGAAATCCTCATTTTAGCTGAAAAATGCTCCAAAAGAGAAGTAGTTTGCTCCAGATCAAAACTTACTTGAATCACACAGTACGAATCACAGAATCACCATGGTTGGAAGGGATCTCTGAGATCACTGAGTCCAACCTCAAAAAAAACCCAAGCAAACAAAACCACAAAAAAACAAGCAGAATTGTCTGGAATCTTGTGCAGAACAGACTCTAGGACCAAGATCTAAAGCGTGCATCTGTTTGGTTTTTTTTTTTAGAGGCAAGTTATGACTCTCCATTTTCAAGTTGACCTGTAGTTTAAATTGAAGAGAAATTTCACCACAAATAACATTTCTGTGGGGCACATTTTGTTGTTTTTAATTTCTAGGGTGAAATAGTTAAGAAGTATACACAGCTCAACCCTAAAACTTATGAAGACAGACTAGAATTAATCCTAAAGATGTGTGTGGAGGCTGCATCAGAGGCAGTAAATGTGAACTGCAGAATTTTGGGAGTGGGTAAGTAAACAAACTAACTTCATCTTTTCATCTAAGTTTTTCAACATGAAATGAAATCACTACTGATTAATTTAAAACACCTTTTTAAGATGGATCTTGTGTATTTTAAGTTCTTAAATTACATTCTTAACACAAAAAGTTTTTCAAATGTCTGTGAAAATGAGAAGCTGACTATAAAGATTGAAGTTGCCCCAGTCTCTAACAGCCATGAAAGCAATCTGCTAAATTATATCTAAACTCTATCTAAAATGTATGGTATATAGATTTTGTGGATTTTGAAGCTTCCTGCAGTCTCAGAATTGTGAGTCAGATGCTTAGTGTATATTGAAACAGCTCTTGAAACAACTGCAGCTGAGTCAAGTTTCCTCTACTGTCTGTAAGCCTTTCTGTATGGCCAGAATCAACTGTGCAGCAGAATTCTTAGTTACACTAGGGCAGACTAAAAATGCAGCTAACAGAGACAAAAGCAGCCTTTTTGTTGACTTCTGGTTTACTTAGACTGTGATAGAGTTCCCTGTTAAACTCTGTGTTTATACCAGAAAGGACTTCTTCAATTTAAAGATGACTGGAAGCTTTGCTCTTAAATATTAGTTATTTATAAAGGTGTCAATTAATGTGTCCTGGATTTTTAAGGAGGACATGAAATCCTCATTTTAGCTGAAAAATGCTCCAAAAGAGAAGTAGTTTGCTCCAGATCAAAACTTACTTGAATCACACAGTACGAATCACAGAATCACCATGGTTGGAAGGGATCTCTGAGATCACTGAGTCCAACCTCAAAAAAAACCCAAGCAAACAAAACCACAAAAAAACAAGCCCATAAAACACAACACCCCACCACATCACACCCACCCACAAACCAATAATCTCGGGCACTAGAGCATGCCCTGAAGAGCCACATCTACACGTTTCTTAAATACCTCCAGGGATGGTGACTCCACCACCTCCCTGGGCAGGCTGCTTCAGTGCCTGACCGCCCTGTCAGTAAAGTAATTCTTCCTAATATCTAATCTAAACCTCCCCTACTGCAACTTCAGACCATTTTTAACACCAGTCGAAGAAAAGTTAATCTGAATGTCTTTTAAAAGTATCCTTCAAAACCATGTTAAGTATATAAAGTCATAAGAAAAAACACGTCACACTTTGAAATCAGATATTTCAGACTATCTGTTGGGTGACTTGACTTAACCACCCGTATTACTTTCTTTTGTCCAAATACTAAAACTTGAAAGCCTCATTGTTCCTGTAGAAAAGATGGTAAACTCTGCAGTAGTCACTGGTGCAAGAATCTAAGAACAGTTTACAGTCAGCTACATTTATTAGGATAATGAAGCCATAAACTGGTTTACAGAGGCTTATATATACGGGAAAAAAACTTTCCTTGTGTTTGTCATTTTACAAGAATTACATTCCTGTTTATCCTTAGCCCCCTTCCTTCTGTGACTGATGTCTTACTGTTGCATTACTGAATAATGAGGGGAAAAGTTGTGCTACAGAGTAAGAAATTTCTGACCTGGCTGTTTTTACTGACTGCTCTTTGCCTGATTCAGACGCATAGTTTGAATCAGAATACAAGCTGAAATGGAAAGTTCTCTTTAGAAAATGGTATATAATTCCTATAGGAATAATTAAAACATTAGATTCTAGTCATCTCCTTAAGGCTAACAATCATAAGATGGAGAGTTCCATCTCCATTTCTTTGGAGAAACTTTTGCAAGACTGAGCAGAAGGACTTAATCCTGGACTTTTTATCAGTAACGCTAGCCACCTTCCAGCTATCATAGGTAAAAGCAATAACCACTGGAAATTAATAAGGAGAAAGAGCTACTAGCAGAAAGCAATGAAAAAAAAGTGTTTTCATTCTCTTAGTGCTATAAACTGTTGTCAGCAATCAAAACACTAGCTACATGAACATAACGTTGATTGAAGAACTCCCACTAATACAAAACAGGTTTTCAGAGTGATTAAAAAGTGGGAATCTGAAAAAAAATCATAATTTTCAACATCTTTTTGTCTTGATGATCAAATAAGTCTAGATTGCAACAGCTCTGAAGTTAGTTTCAATTTTGTTATTTTTGTTGGGTTTTTCACTAAAAGCAAAGCATTTATATTAAAAACAGCTTTATGAAAATGAGGGAAAAGTAAAGGCTATCAGGCCTAAAAACCAGAAGGAGCTGTTACTGAATTTTATTTTTTTTTTTACTTTTACAGAACACAAATTTTAAACCAAAGGAGACCTAGATCTATACACAAATGTTGCATAGAGATACTTGTGACAGCTATGTATTTGCTGCTATTAGGCAGTATGTATGTTATCTTTCTGGAGCTGACAGTAGAGAAAAAAGGATGAAGAGATAGCTTCTGCTAATTCCCATAGTCTTTTACATCAATTACAAAATTATTTTATTTAGAAAATGTAGATATGTTTTACTAAGCTATTGCTGAGTTAGCAACCCAGTATGAAATAAGGTTTTGTTGTAATAAACATTTGTTTGTAAAATCCTAAGGAGATCCTCACAGATTGACATGGGGGATGTTGTTTCTACTAGGTACTTGCTGACAGGTTCTCAGATTATTTGTTCTTTACAAAGTGAGATTTTTGGGGGTCTTACAGCTTTAATGTTCGATTCAGGTGCTTGTCTCATAGCTTTTGTGACTGCTTTCTATTATTAATGTTAAACCTGGGGCTCTTTTCTATCTTTAGATAAGTGACAGAATTACAGGATCTCTACAAGAATAGATAAAAAGTTCAAACTTTGTTGTCTAGAGCTAAATACCTCTGTAATAGAGTGGCCTACCTTTCAAAGGTCCTGACAGTCCATCAACATTGGAAGCCTCTCCAGCTAGGGAAAACATGGTTTGGGTAATAGTGCCTATTGTTAGCCTTTATTCTGTTCAGTAGACAAATCTCTGAACAGAGTAGTGGTTTTTTTTTTTTCTGGAAAGCAGTGTATTTTTAAGTAGAAATCACTACTCAAAGCCCAGTGATTATTTTTTAGTCATTCTAAATCTTGAGAGTTACAGCAAATTTCAGGACACATCTGCTGTCCCAGGGTTTGAACAATTTATTTTGTACAGGTTGCTGTTGTATGGGTTTTTTAGTCACCTTTAATAGGTCACTAAAAAGCAATACAAGTATTAAGTGATTTGGTACAGTCTTGCCTAATGCAGGAACATTAACTCTCTGACTAACACTAACTATTACCCATCTAGTTAAGTCTTAAGATACTGATTGCATTGTCACTACAGCAATGGAGTTCTGTGAATTATCTGTACATGTCAGAAATTGCACTGCTAGTAATACTTTTACTTTCACACTCTACTTCCAATGCCTAGCATTAGAAATAAAAGTACTTGTCATTACAAAGAGAAAAATAGATCCTTTACTTAAAGTATTACACAGACTTAGTTTCAATTTTTTTCTCCTATATTTCTGGGGTTTAGGTATTTCCACAGGTGGACGGGTAAACCCCCGAGAAGGAATTGTGCTTCACTCTACAAAACTCATTCAAGAGTGGAGCTCTGTGGATCTCAGAACTCCAATATCCGATGCCTTGCATCTGCCAGTCTGGGTCGACAATGATGGAAACTGTGCTGCTCTAGCAGAGAGGAAATTTGGTCATGGAAAAGGAATAGAAAATTTTGTAACACTTATTACTGGTACAGGTGGGTATGTTATAGTTTAATGAAACTCAAAGTCAAAACACCAGGACCATCACACAGAGGCTCAGCTAATCTTAAAAGCATAAGGACCACCATTGTTCCTGGAAAATCCAAATATATTAGGTTCTTAAACCAAACATAATTTAGCCACTGTATCTATTTGTTTCTTTAATGTACTTTATTCAGGCAAATGAAACCTTTTGCATAGTATAAGCTTCTTGATAAAAGAAGTTCTGCTGCTACAAGCTATGCAGGCAAACCATTTTTTCAAAATAAGGGAAATCCAAGCAACTTTACCTGGAATCATTTTGCTTTTTTCAGCTTTATAGCTTAATTCTCTTCCAGCTGCAGAAATACAAGTCAGATCAGGATACGTATCTGATAAGCAACTGAACGTGAGAGATGATCCTTATTATATCTCAAACACAAATGTGGAATAACTTTTCTCATTTTTTAAGTATATAGTCCTTTAAAATGGTGGCAATAATAACTAGTTGATGAATTTGGTTTGGGAAGATGCAGCAGAGGATTGCAGATTTAAGTATCCTTGGCTCTTTGGCACAAAGATTTAGGTCTCCAAGTATAGAATTAAAACATCTCTGAAATGCAAAAAATTTAATGCCGCTTGAAAGGTTAGTTTTGCTTATAAAAAGTATGACTTATAAGCTTAAAAGATTTGTCATATTAGTTCAATACCATCCATGGGCTTTTTAAGAAAGGAAAAGCATTATATACCATTTTGATACATATATGAATAGGAGGGAGCTATGAACTTGCTTATAGAGATGTGTTGAATGAGTTCTTCAATAGCCAGTAATTTTTGGTTTGCAGTATAGACCACTGATGCACAGATTTTATCTTGTCATGGTAGAATAAGCAAATGTCAATGTCCTGCAGAATTGAGGCCTTTAGAAACTGTATATAATCCTTTTTTTTTTCTTCTCTTTTTTTTAATTGTTTTCGTTAATTGATGAAGTTTTCATATCTTTGCAGGAATTGGAGGTGGAATTGTTCATCAACACGAATTGATCCATGGCAGTTCTTTCTGTGCTGCTGAGCTTGGGCATATTGTTGTATCTTTAGATGGACCAGAGTGCCTGTGTGGTAGCCAAGGATGTATAGAAGCATATGCCTCTGGAATAGCATTACAGAGAGAAGCTAAAAAACTGCATGATGGTACTACATCCTTTATTTTTGAAAACATGATTATTAAATTGCAGTATAGGAAGACATTTGCAAAGGTGTTATTAAGAAAAATAGACCTGCCATCTCTTTCTAGGAGGAGACGAGAATAGGTGTACAGGCAACCAGGTAAGGTTCCTGTGTATGGCCAGCCCAGGAGCCACCACAACCTGTGTAGTACAATACTTTTTTGATGATGGCAAGAACCATGCAAGCCACATTTGGAACCACTGGTCTCAAAATTACCAGAAGCAGGTAGTAGAGCTTAGTTTCTCCTTTTCAAGTGTGCTGTAAGGTAATCTGACAGGCATTCTGTGAGGTTTGATTTAACAGGGATTGTCATTTGGCAATAGCTTCTCAGATAAGTTTGAGAAGATTTATATTTTATTTTAACTTTTGGGGCTGAGACTAGTGAATTACCATACTATTTGAGTTTGACGGCCTGCTTCTACAGGTAGTTCCCTGCATAATATGGATGTGATCACTCTGCCTAACCTCAGGGTTGGACAGATTGCTCAGTATTCAGGCTTCAGTATGCAAGTAAAAGAGATTTGAAGATCTTAACTGTCTGTTTGTCACCTTCTATTTCTTGACTTACCACATCACTATGTTTTGTTCTTTTGGCTTTCTCTCCTCCTCTTCAAACAGAGGATCTGCTTTTAGTAGAAGGAATGTCAATGAAGAAGGAGGAGGTTGTTAGCGCTGCACATCTCATTCAAGCAGCTAAACTTGGGAACACAAAAGCAGACAGCATTCTTAGAACAGGTGAGAACATAGTCCGAAGGGTGGAGCCCTCCCATGATGGCATTTTGGGGGGTACAGAAATGGTAATGAACTGTAACACTACAAACACACAACTCTACATATTGAGGACCTCTCTCTATAAAAATTACTATGGGTATTGAAATGTTAAATATAAATGTTGGAGGAAATGTGAGCAGAAGTGTATATTAAAAGTGCCTGTTCTAATAAGTGAAAAGATGAAAAGCCTCTGCAAAGGTCAGTTCAGAAAAAAGTGAGGTCTCAACATTCTCATATTGGAAAATTCGGGGACACTTCATTGTAGGCAAGTGAATGGCTAGTCTGTGCAAGCAAAGGCAATTTATGTATTACTTTACTTTACATATGGTAATATACTCTTTTTACTAGTTTTAAATACAGTCCTCTTCCTCACATATAGCTGATAGCACTAACATGGTAGAGTAATGCTTTCCTATTCTCTCTTAGCTTACAAGTGTGGTAATATATTGCTTTGTCTTTCACATCCATATAATTGGATAATGCATTGTTATGCAATAAAATTGCTTTTCTTTTACTTTCAAAAGAAAAAGTAATGGCAAACATATTGTTTGATAACATAAACCTCAAAGCTGTCTGCCAGGCGGATTAGAACACTTTCCTGACAGTGTCATTTGCTGCTAACAGACCTATTTCAAATACTGATGCATGGACTGATTTGAGTGTTCTGCTTAATTTCTTTTTACTTTATCTTTTCAGCTGGGACAGCACTAGGCCTTGGAGTTGTGAACATTCTGCACACCATGAACCCTTCTCTTGTGATCCTTTCTGGAGTTCTAGCTAGCCACTACGTTAATGCTGTCAAAGATGTGATAAATCGACAGGCTTTGTCCTCTGTTAAAACTGTAGATGTGGTGGTCTCAAATCTAGCAGATCCTGCTCTTCTTGGAGCTGCTAGCCTGGTACTGGATTATACTACACGTAGAATATACTAGGTACCTAGAAGAATTATAGAAATGGACTATTCAAATTCCTAATCGGTGGAGGGAATACTTGCCTAAAATTTTTGTTTGATGAGAGCAGCTACTGAATCATAGTGTTCTGACTAGTTAGTGACTACTTCAGTGTTTTCTAACTGAGGTACTATCTTTTTGTATTTTTCCCAAATTTCATTTGACTTCATAGGAACTCACGTGTAATTCTGTTGTTTTTATTAACCTCTGTTGGTAAGCCCCTATGTTGCTTTAAGTGTAGCTGAATTATTTATGAGCCTATCTTGATGTATGGTGGGGAGTGTGTGTATGGTGTGTCAAATTATAGCAAATACTTGGGGATCCATATCTCATTTCCCATCTATGTGAAATGAGAAGTCTAGAATATGACCAGCTTTTCAGTTTCCACGCTTCCACCCACGAAGTAAATACAATGTAATCACCAATAGCAGGTAGTAATTTCAGTGGGTGGAAACGAGGGAAATTGCCTCTACAGTAAAAAAGGCTGCATTTAGAAACTGCAGTTCATTAAGAACTTGGACGAGGCAGTTATTTATTACATCATCTTTAGAGGGCGGAGTCTCATTTTAGAAGCTTTGCATATGTAGAAAAAAGACCATAGTCTAGTGAGCTTACAGCTTGCAAAACAGTCCAAAGAAATGTACAAGTGTAGTGGTGACCATCTTTGTCTCCTGGCTATGGCCCACAGTAAATTACCTGAATTTTATTGTTTGGGGTTTTTTTAAGGGACTTAGTTTACTACTTTGTCTACCAAATTAACAGAGAAGGGACCATTTATTCTTGTGTAGCCAGCTAGCTGAAATTTAGCTATGTGGTGCATCTGATAAAGAGTCTATGTTTCAAGAAAACTCTTCTACTGTTCAGTGACATAGTGCATCTCCTCAGCAGTTCTGGTGGCTGCAGGTACACTGTTCTTTTCTTGCATTCATCATCAGCTTGCAGGATGGAAAGTCAAATCTGATCTTCATCCTCACCTTCACATATTCAGAAGCCTGAGAGCAAAGCGTGTAAAAAACCAAAAGCTTGCCAAGATAAACCATGGTTTATGTTTCTTTAACTAATCCTTCTTGATATACAGCTCTGTGTCTATCCAGCTGCTTTTTAGCACACTTTCAAGATCCTGTAGTAATAACTATTTATCATAAAGAGAAACTGAAAACCAGACCCATCTAAGTGATCAGCTATCCCAGAAAAAAAGATACCTGTGGAGATATCTATCCTCTGTCCTGCATTTAATGGCCTATTTTGACATCTGACTCAGTCACAGATGATATTCTTAGAAACCCAGTAACGTACTAGTACACAGGAATAATAAGGGTTATATCCACACTCAAATGTCTTTTCCAACAAAACACCCTTCTGCAACCACTGCCCTCTGCTGTGCAATAATCTTGGACTGAATAGCTGTTAGTATAGTGAGCAACTCCACTAGCTAATTCTGGGATATAATTACACAAGTTGCCTTCAAAGGAATGCTTACTGAGAACTCACATCTTCCTAGCAGATTTTAGAACCACCACCTGATCCCCTTCTTGCTTTCTCCAGGAATAGCTGCGCAGCCACTATATTGTAGTTTTTCTCAGAATCTGCAAAGACTGTCTCTTAAAGCCTACTACAACTTTGCACATGGTTATGTCACCAGGGTTTCTTAGTTTCTTTTCCTGTGTTTTCTTGGTTTACTTGGTGTTTCCCACTAATTTCAATAATAGAGCAGTAGCTCCATGAGCAGGCCAAGGAGAAATCAGCTTTGCTCTACAGTAGTAGCAGCTTAGGTCAGGAGTAACATTATTGAGGCTGTTAACAGAGAGGAGCCCTGTCATTTATCTTTCTATCACAAGGAATGCCTGACTAAAAGTGGGACCAAGCTTTTGCTTTCCAGACCTCTTGAAGCTCTATATTTTTGATATATCACATTCAGATATGGGTGGTGAGCAGCTCTAGGGAGGATGCAGGCATAGTGAAAAGATGAAACATTAACGCATTTGAAAAAATTTATCTAAATACCTTTAATGTCTAGTGCTATTAAGAAAATGGTTTTTCAGATGCTTTTGAAAATGTGTTTTCTGTCAACTGGACAAGAACCTGCTGCAAGTGCAAGTGATGCAGAAATATTGCACTTTTCCCTGAGAGGCCTGTGGGTTTATAAAATCAGAAAGAATAAAAAAAAAAAATCATATTTAAAAGCATACTAGTGTTTGTTTCTCCTTCCTTGCCTGTTCAGAAACCTCCCTCACACTTCAGGCACATTGTTGTGGACTAGAGGTCTTATGGCCACTAGCTCCCAATTGCATCCAGTCCCAGGGAGAGCAAACAGCAGAGGTTTACAAAACATCTGCAGTTCTGTGCCCGCAGGTTACTTGATGCTGACCCTGTGTCTTTTAGAGTAGCCCATACTGTGAAAGTCATGGTCTCCAGTGAGAACAAACCAGTCTTTATCTCCATTACTGGGAAGGAAGAAGACAACAGCTGAACTCTCCTTCCCCAGCTATTATCAGCATATCACAGCCTAAAGCAGCAGAGCATTCTCATTACCTGCAGTGGCAGCATCTGCTAATAGTACCTGTTGGAGGAGGAGGTTTGGTTTTGCAGCTTCCCTGATTACTGTATGCAGTACCCTAACTGCTGAAGCCTTAGCAAGAATGCCACTGTCCAGCCCTCTCTGCAGAACTGTATGACACTCAAGAGCTCGGGCAGGAGGACACTCCTCATGGACATGCATGTTTATAATCAGCATTGCATGAGCAAGCACCACTCAAATGAGAGTGGCAAAAGGTTGGAAAGCAACTTAAAGTTGCAGCTCTTAGTGCTGTAGAGTGTAATTCATGTAATCAATGTTAAGACCCCTACCAGTCCCTACACTTCATTGCTCCTTATCCTTGCATTTTATGGAAAAAGACTCCTTTGCCTAAGCATAGAAACCAAAGCAGCCAGGACTTGGCACCATGGGGAGGCCAGCTGATCTTACAGATCATTGCTGATGCTTTGCATATAATCAGTAGCTAATACATAGCTAATCAGTACAGCAACACAGTCTGGAATTTCTTTTTGGTATCCTGAGCAGGAAGTTTAGTTATTCAGCATTTTGAGCCTTTGATCTGCCACCTAGACACTCAAAATTAACAAATACCTCGGACTTCTGGTGGTCTTGAAGCACTGTCCTGTGCCCATTTAAATGTATCAAAATTGTCAGAACTTGGGCATACCACCCATAGAAGCAAAGACAGTAAGGTGCAGGTAGAGTCTATACTCTGATCCAATTTGCATTAGTGAAATCTGATTGCTGTGTGGAGTTCACAGGCATTAATATGGGTAAAAAATCCAGCCTGTACAGACCTTGGACCATTCCAGATAATTGTATTTATTATCTGGCTTATCAAAGATACATTGGAACTCATGCTTTGGCAGGTGAAGTCTTGGTGCTAAAGCCACATATTTAGTACAGCTGTTTTGGTCTGGCACCAAGCAGATGCTTCACATTATGGGCACATAATGTGCTTTAGTAACAACTAAAAACAGTCAAGAGATTCTGAAGACACAGCCAAATATTTTTAGGCTTTGCTTAAGTTTGCACATACAGTTGTCATGCTTGGTGGGCTGGTTCATTTGACAAGTTCACACAAAGCAACATCAAACCATATACTTTAATAAGATGCCCAAATCACCCACTGCTTGTACATTGCAGTTTGCTGTAAAATCAAAGCTGACCGCTTTTCCAGCTTGAGCAAGGCAAGGAGGTGGCAAGTAACACAGTGAGTTCTTTCTAATGCTGTCATAATTGAGGGAAGCTTTTGATTTCACAACCTCCTGACCTCACAGAGTTATCAGTTGTAAGTTGTTACTGCCAGCTGAAGAAAGCTTTGCATGCTTGAAAGCATACATTTTTCTCCATTATACTAAAAAGAGGTAAGACATGTCCACACCACTTTTCCCTTGCTTGTACTATTAGACCACCATTGTTGTACCTCTGTATCTGCAGATGACTGAATAATAGGTCTTCTGCCTTTTTTTGCAGGAAGCACATTAAACAGAAATTTTACATGCAAATAAAGTGCCAAATCTGTGCTCAATTAGAAAGTGTAAGAAGACTATTTAAGGTAAGTGTTTGAATAAATATCCTGATTAATTTTTTTCCCCTTTATTTTTAATTTCAATTTCACAACTCCATCATAAATACAGATATAGCACTTTTTAAAAAGCTAGTAAGATTTCACCTCATGCCTTGAGTCCGGTAAAATTTCTGCTCATAGTAACCAGCTGTGCCCAGTAAACAGCAACATGAAGCAAAAGATTAAATGTGCTTGGAACTGTAGCCAAATGCATTGCAGTGCTGTAATCACACATAATTGCAGTACTGCTACAAGATCTCATGAAACACTACCTTGTTGAACAGTGTTGAGTAGCCCATGCTTCCTGGTACTAGAACATACCAAAACATGTATATGGCCTATCACCTAGAAAGTCAGACCACAGAGGCCTGTGTTGTCACTAACCTTGTAACATCTGAGGATCACGCAGATGTGGTGCGGCTCCAGGCATGTTACCAACCACCCAGTGCCAGTGTGCTGCTGCAGCACAACAGGTCTGCAGGGGAACAAGCTTGCCTATATGACAGGTGGAATTCCCACTGGAGGAATCCTCTTTTGGCAAAGACAATAGACGCTCACCTTGTCCAGTCTATAATACAAGCCAGTAAATTATATATTTCCCTCTTCACCAGCTGCTCAGAAAAAAAAAATGTCAACAAGAAACAAGCAAGCCCTAGCACGTTGGTTTATAGCTATTTAAAACTTACCATGTCACAACATCAAAGTAGCTAAAATAATTCTCAGACATAGGAAGTCTAAGCAGAGCGCTGGTGAGGCCACACCACTAGGGAGGCCACTTCTCAGCACTGGTGAGGCCAGACTGGGGGCACTGGTTCCACTTCTGGGCTCTGTAGTATAAGAGTGAAGGACATACTGGAGACAGTCCAGCAAATGACCACAAAGACCATTAAGCAACTAACACATCTCTCCTATAAGGAAACACTGAGGCAGTTGGAATTGTTCAGCTTGGAGAAGAGAAAGCTCAGAGGGATTTCATAAATGTGTACAAATACCTGTAATGTCTGCAGCCCATCTTCAGAGCCCGACTCTTTTCAGTGGTGCCCAGTGACAGGACAGAGGCAACGGGCACAAACTAAAACACAGGAGGTTCCTCCTGAGCATCCAAACCCACTGTGAGGGTGCTGAAGCATTGGCACCGGTTGCCCGGACAGGTTATGGAGTTTCCCTCCTTGGAGATATTCAAAAGCCATCTGGACATGATCCTGGACAACCAACTCTTAGGTGGCCCTGCTTGAGTCGGGGAGTCAGACCAGATGACCACCAGAGGTCCCTTCAAACCTCAGCCAGACTGTGATTCTGTGACTGCACTTAATAGGAGGTAGGAGAGAGACTGAGCTAGCATACTTGAATATAAAATTAAGGCAAAAGAGAGAATCTACAAAATCTTAGAACAAGAGCTGAAGGAGGGAACCAAAACCCACGGAGCTGCTTGTTAAGTGTTCCAGCTAGATGGTGTACACAGAAAAAACCCACCAGATGCATCATTATCGCCTGCAAACCCAGCTTATAAAACACTTTTCACTTCTGTAACATTGAGTCTTTGTCCATTTTCTTGGATTGAAGCTCAAAACCATGGCCTTAGCACTATGAGATAAGACAATGTGGTGATTAATCAGTTCCATAACTCAGTGTGCAGGAAACCCTCTAATCTGCTGAACTTTCAAATCACATGAAATTCAAATTAACATTTTAAACATTGTATATTTAATGCAGTGGAGTTTTCTTTATTAAACAACCAATTCATTCTAGAAGCCTTTGTTTGTAGAGCTTTGGGTTGAGTAGAAGAACAGAAGTTTTCAGTCTAGGTGAATGCATGATTGAGTATGAGTATTCTATGAACTTGCTCTGTGTTTTAGTCCTATTAAACTCACCTGTGGTACCCCTGTGCAGTTCAGAAAATAGGTTGCTGCTTCAATCTTCTACAGAATTAAGCTTCCAGGCATGTAGTCTACTATCATTTTCTTATATACTTACCAGTAGTGTGTGAATACACTTGCAAACATAAGAATAGCTCCAGTCACTACAGACAACAATAAGGTACAGCTTAACTGTTGAAGCCCAACTGGCAACCATTTATATTCAGTATCTTATCCACCAAAGGGACAGAGCTGCAGTAAGACAGTTGCTGTGCAGTGAGAACCTTACTAAGGTAGTAAGGGAGAACCTTACTAAGTTTTCATCTGCATCTGCGGCCCTCTTCAAATTGCCTGGACTAACCTAGCAGCTTGTACACAACTGTTACAGCAATTTTGCTACACAATAGTTAAGCTACTGTATCTTTGATTAAAATGGTGAAATAATGTATGAGACTGAACGGACCATTCTTACAAAATAGACAGCTAAGGGAAGTCTTACCAGAGCAAGGCTAGAATACAGCCCCTTGGTGAATGCTGAGTGAGATTAGAGAGCCAAGGAAGCAGCAGAACAGGTTTTCTGGATCAGTTTGTTTCAAATCCAACCACCTTGGCAGACAGAGCTCCAACCCAGTTGATGAGCAGCAGTAAGAGCAAGTCTTCCCTTCTCTTGCTCTCCAAATCTCCCAATTCACCACCCTGGTGAGAAAGTGTCTGGAAGAGTCAGTAAGGACAAGGATACAGTTCAAAAACACCCAAACCGCCTCTGCACAACAGGACTTTGCATACGAAGCCAGCATTAAACACATGTGAGAATAGAATATGCAGTAGAATATCAAAGGTTTTAACTACTCAGTGCCCATCCTGCATTTCTAGCCTAAGATCTGCAGCTGGAGCAACAGCAGTGCTACAGTGCTTCACAGAACTGCTTACCTGCAGAAGGCAGTGTCCTCAGTTCCACTAGAAGTGAAATAAGCTCCTTAACAAGCCTGCTGCTCCAGTTTCCTAGATCTTCTATCTTCTGTGATAAATTGTACTGGGAAGCAGTTTTTAAACTAAAGCTTTCAAGAGCTTTAAGAAAGCTTATAGACAAGCAGGACAGCCTCTCAGAGGCCAGGAGCATTGCTGGCTGGTCAGCCACTAGCAAGGTGAAATCACTAGCAATTAAGAGAAACATTTTCTTACACTCAATTCAAACCTGTGTTGTCAAAACGGAACAGAAGACCTCCTTCATTCATCCAAAGTCAACACATTTTGCTGTTAAACAGATCTTTAATATCAGTAATGTGGGAAGTGACATCTCAGTGCACAACAGCACAGAGACTACAGTTTTGGAGGTTCTCCCATTTCAGACACAAAAAGGAAACATGAGGAAAAACATGCAATCAAACAATGATCAGCTCTAGATACATCATGAGGTTTGGTCCAAAAAAAACATTGAAACAATTAATCCAGTTACTGCAAACATAGCTTCTCCGAGTACGGTTAAGATATTGCATTTGTAGTGTTTCCATTGTACTTTCCTTCAGCGAACCAGCGGAGCCTGCTTGAGTGAGATGAGGACCGAACGCATGCGGGACACATCTTTTGCCTGCTTACTAGACTTGGGATTAAAGTCACAGAGCTGAGCCACACGTTCCCACTCAGTGCCCGGAAAAACATCTTCTGCATCATTCACAAAGGCTTCTTCAGCTGCCCTAAAAGCAATGCAATGCACCTTGCGTTAATGCCCAACAAATAAGGCACTCTTCTCTTACAGGATGCAGTTTCTTTCAGCACATTTTGTAAGAAATGTGACCTGACAGCTGCTTGTGGAAATTATGGCTACTTACGCTCCCACTGCGCCAACCCCAGACGTGAAAGTAGGTTGCAGTAGTAAGCTATGCACAAGCAGTGCAGAGGGTTGCTGTGTAAAATGTTGGAATACAGGTGTTTGGTTTTAGGAATAGTTACTGAGTCTTTGCCTAAGGAGTCACCCACAAACTGGCCAAGAAGTAAGGTCCTATACCGGCATTTTATTTACATAGAAATGCCCAAGCTTTAACTACTTAAGCCTCTGCCACTTGATGGCTAACATTGGACACTTGCCAACCAGAAATTTAAAACTCTCTGCAAGCATGTCTCCAAACAGATTCCATTTGAGGATTTAATCAGCCCCAAGGCTTACAGGCCATCAAAAAAACCCCCAAAAACTATCTGCTGATGATTCCCAATGCTGTAGTGGAGCAGCATGAAAAGTAATTTAAGTCATGAATTCCATGCTTGTGGGTGGTATAGACTTAAGCACTTCTTGGCAGAGGGGATGACTTGTTTGAGGTCAGCTCACAGGATAAACACATTTACCCTGCTCTCACCCTAAGAAGACTCTAAGGAGGCTTTGCACATTATGTACAGGTTACTGCCACTGGCTTCCCAGCTGTATCCTTTTGGCATTGCTATGCTGCCAACAACATTGCTTCAATGCAGGCATAACACTCCAGCATCTAGTTTACATGAACTGTGGGGCCCCTGGTAGCTGCCCAAGCGCAAGAGCAGTAAACATCATGAGGTCAAACCAAATCCATCTACTCCAACAAATAGTACAGAAAAAGCAGTGAAGATGACTCTCCCATGAGGGTTCAGCACTGTTCACAGGGATGATAAGGTTACAGACACCACTGAAGACAAGGGTCACTACAACACTGCTACTTCATGTGACATGACACTTTTAAGGGGCAGTGAAGATTTTTTTACTTAACTGTTCTAGGCTGTAGCAAGGATGATTTATGTTTGTGCTTAAAGGTGAAGAGAAGAAAAGAAACAAGGAGAGAAAGTTTAAGTCAGATATAGAAAATGAGAATGAGTTCAATGCAGATGATCAGCTGGCTGAACATGCAGTAGTAGCCTAGCCTACATTCAGCAAACAGGCTGTCAACTTTATTCTGCAGCACTGCACATTTGCATTGGATATAGGAAAACAAGGGATTTATAGGAAAAAAAATGTATCAAAATCAACTCCAGGAGACTTCAGAAAAGTCAAACACCACCTGTAAATCCGTCATCTCACAAGTCTTGGTTTACATCCACCTACAGTTAGATAATGAATTCCACACTGGACCTTCAGTATTAACTCACTCAAAGCCACACCATGGCTCACAATACACCTTGTAAGGGTGTCACCTTAGAATCTGTGACATGGCCATCTTTCAATTCAAGTCTAAAAATTAAGGGAAGAAATTAAAATACACAAACAAGCCAATGAACATTGCAATCCTTCCAGCCCACAGAAACTAGCATACTCATTGGGGCTCGAAAGTCACCGTTGTATTCTCATTGATCCATTAGACTGGCAAAATGCACAGAGCTCTCCTAAATGTTCTCCTAGCAGCTGATGCTGATCTTCCAATATCACCTTCTTGTGCTTTTCATCTGTTCTCTACATGTACACATCTTTTCTACCTGCTGTAAACCAGGGTAGTTCCTTTCTGCCTTCCTTGGCTTGCAGAGTTTTACGTGCAAGCATTGCTTGAATATTTTTCTGATTACATAGGGAAACGAGCACAGAGCAGGAGCTCAATGCCTATTACAGAGAATGCAGAGTTAAACACTGTGCTTCTCTGTGGAAGTGACTAGGACTAAATACAGCAGCCATGTGAGACTGTAGACACTAACCCACATACCCAGCAAAGCACCTTGCTAAGCAGTGTTCACTGGCCTGGAAACAACTGTAAACCCCTACATCTAAAGGCTACTGAGGTCATTACCAAAATTCCAGCAGTATGTATACTACATGACTTAATCTGAAAGTGCAGTGAAATGTTATGCAGTGTATGGGATACTTACAGAAAAACTGCACTCAATACTGTAGATCAGAGTCAGTCCAAATAGTGAAGGCTATTAATTTATACTGCCCTGAAATATTCAGAAGTCATCTTCAGACATTCAACACTATTTCTGACATTCCTCGTTAGCTAGTTGGCTAGCAAACAGAATTAGTAGTTAAGCAACATACACATAACCAATCACGTCAGCGAAGGGTTGTTTGAAGAAAGCTTCATCTGCCACCCTAGGTAGCAAGTAGTCCAACAGGTAGGCAAGCAGGCAGGAGAAAAGAGATAAGGATAAGAAGTAGGGAACACAGCTGAAGGCAGTTTTAACATGCACATTAACCTTGTATCACCTAGATTTACTGTAACAGGCAAGCAGATACCACACGGAATGTATCAATTAAGCCATTGCCTCAGAGGGGCACGCAGAAGCTCTGCTACACCCTAGAAGTTGGGACCAGCCAGTTTAGGACTAGAGTCCCAATCTTAGTATTAGGGTACTTCCAGTGGACAGAAGCTACCATTAGGAGAGCCATCTCTCCAGGCTGATGAGAATGCCAAACATTCCTTCTGTGCAACAGTTGCAAAATGGACTTTGTTCCAGAACACATACCCTGCCCTCAAACCCTGGCCACAATAAAGCTGTGGGGGTAAGACAAGCTCTGGCCACCATTAATTACATTTCCCTTTCTTGGCCCAACCAGAAGACTGTACTTCAATGAACGGAACTGAAAAATCCATAATTCTGTAGGAAGTGTAGGCCTCCATGCCTCCTTTAGGAAGAAGTAGGACTTTACCTACTCAAGACAACCCTGTTTCTGTTAAGAAAAATGGTGTTAAAATAAAAAAACCCACCCCAAACCCAGTTTATCTTGAAGTCTGTGGATTCCTAAAGTATAAAGCAGCCCTGATCATCACCTGATCAGAATGACAATGGTAGCCCTAGGTCAGAAGTAGCAATCTAAGTGGTATTAAGTCAATACTATCACCTTCACATAGCCTGAAGTTAAAATTTCACAGGGAACTTCTCAGAAGATGTAAGAGCTTACTAGACTAGCAATCAGGTCATTAGTTTCTGACCTACAGCCCATAATTAAACAATGCAAACCCAACAGAGTCAGCATTTAGTTATTCACCACCAGAACTGCTTCGGGTTATTTCTCAAATGCTTCCAAAAAGGAGCAGTCGAAGGCTTTAAGATACCTAATGAAACAACTTGCAGCAAAGACTAACTAAAAGTCACTTCCATGTGTTCTAATGATAGCAAGTAAGATTGCTAGTCTCAAGGTAGATAATTATAGTCACTGAAGACCCATGCAGCTGAGAGCATGCTAACAAGTGGGTAGACTAAAGTTTTTTTCTGGCGATGTTCAGTCTTTGTGTCTTATGGAACCATTAGTTCATTATCTTAATGCTTTGTCTGCCTGTTCTTGGACATTTAAACAAGATTCTAAGAAAATTTAAAAGATAGTCTACCACAGGAGACCCACTCCTTAGAAGGAGAGGTTATTTTAATGATCTGAAGGACTAGTGCCTTAGGGCATGCTGGAAGTATTCTAACCTCCCTCCACCCATTTCTTTCATATCCAGTACCATAACTCTTCAGGTGGCTGGAGAAACCTTACCTGTTGCTGGCTTTTGTTTTCTGGAGCTTTTCATCTTGCCTTGCATACCACTCCTCCAACTCCTTTATTGCTTTCTCTTTCCATTCTGCTTCCTGCTTTCGTGAGTTCGCATCTGAAGATTAAAGAATTGATTTGTCAGTCACATTTTCTCCCGCTGAATCTTGCCATTTCAGCTGATGGCTCAGATTGCACTCTAGTGCAGAGAGTTGCTGTGTCTACTCAGAGAAAGGTTAGGAGATTTCCTGATTTAGACCATGAGAACTCTACATATCATGAACATTCAGAGGATTAGCTAAACAGAATGCCTATTCTGCATAACTGGGATTGTCCACTTCAGTTTAGGATAGGCATTTGTAGACTAATTCATATTCAGTAAGTCTGTTGGCCTGCACAGTGTTTAAAAACAGAAACAGTCACCTTGCTATGCTAGTGCTAGAACAAAGCTCAGTAAAGCCTCTGTGCTTAAATAAAGCAAAGGAGTATGGCACTAAGCATGCTTTTACACCCAGTCTACAGTTGGGGACAAGCTCATGTGCTGTAAGTAGCCCGGAAGAGGAACAACAGGCTCAGCTATATTCAGAATTACATTGTACAGAAGGTTCTGTCCTAACAATTTAAGGCAAAGCCTCCCCCCTAATGCAAGTGGAAATCATACCAATTTGTAGGTTCTTAGAAGCCGTCCACTGGTAGGTATCACTGCATTTGACAGCTGTATTTAGTTTAGTTACTACTCCGTGACTTAACTTATCTATTAGATAGATTAAGATCTGTGTGACAACAGATGGACTCAGCAACTACAAAATGAGCAATCTTTATCCTTTGAAGAAAGTTATGATAGCTGCAGCATTTATTCACTCTTTTCTGCTGATAAAAACTGTTCATTTTCTGTCAGCTTATTTGTAAGTAAAGGGCAGGACACATGAATACTCTTGAGGTTCAGAGTTGCTGACTCCAACAACAGTATTAAGTCTGCTTACTGGAAGACTCACCCAGACTTCCTACTCAAACTCAAGCACATTAGATTCCCAAAAGCCAGAAGCCAGTCTTGAGAATTCTGCTGCTTAAGAAGCTGCCACTAAGTCACTCACAAGAAAGAACACTACTACAACAAACACCCTCCTTACCAAGTTGCTCCAGGCGCTCCTTTTGCTCTTCTCTCCACTTACGAATACTCTCCGGTTCTGACTGCAGTCGATCTACTTGGGATACGGTCACACAGTTTGTTGGACCATTAATCTTCTTAAAGGGAAGGAATAGTAATGTCATTTGTACATGACAACTGAATATTTCAGATAACTGCCTGCAAGCTACACAAAATTAGAATTTGAACTGAGCACGTAATGCATTTATCTGATCTTATATCACATTTCCATAACCACATTTCCATTACCACGAAAAATATCTTGCCACAAATTGCAGAAGGATTGAAGCAAATTGCCTCTAGCAATCAGGGATCAAACAAATTCAAGTTGACTGGCAAGTCAAACCGTGTCAGAGCTCTGCACCTGAAGAAAGCAGAAGACAATGCCTAGCCCCTCACTATTCAGTTGCAGGCCTAGAGATCCTCCAGTTCATTTCACTTAAATATTTAGATGTGAAGGGTTTTTTTGTTTGTTTTTTACAGTTTTATTCATAGGAGTTTAAAACATTCTCTGTAATTTATTTGTCTACTTCAGAGGCATTTGCCAACTTAACTGATAATAAAAACCAATGTCCTTTAAAGACATTACAGAATTGGAATTGCTGTATACAGCTTAGAACCCAAGAGGCATTTCTACATTTAAGCATCAAAACAGTGTATTGGCACACATTTTACTATACAGTAGCTCAAAGACTTGCAATGAATAGAGCTATCATAAATTCACCAGATTTGTGGAGCTAATTAATATTGTGCTATTTGCCACACATCATACACCAAGTCCAACAACTTTCATAGGTTCACCTTACTCTTAACAGACCTAAGAAATACCTCTCCTGACAGTACCAGATGGATTGCAGCTACTGACAGATTTCACTGTGTCTGGCCCCTCTTTGGGCCTCCTGTAGCCCTCAATGAAGGAATAATGCAAAAAGAAGGAGCTAGGCCAGTGAAACAGCACCAGGCTTCACATTCAAAACAAAATTAATTGGCCAGTTACAAGGCCAAACTAGTTACCAGTAGCTAAAACAAAAGTTACATATAGCCCATTCAGTGTGTTCTTCCTCCTTAACCTAGGAACCTCTATCAACCAAAACAGCTGGTCACTAAGAACTGCAAACACAAAATCATGGTATCTCATCTACCTTTTGTTATATAAGGAATCACAAAGCACCAGTAAGATACAGTTTTTCCATCAATCTCACAGCAATGGTGAGGATATAAAAACGCTGGCAGCAATGAAAGTTGTTTATGTCTCCACAAAGCTCAGTGGTCATTCACAAGTCTATGGAGAAGAAGCTCATACAGTGCCCCTTTTCCAAGCATTCGTTCACACAGGGCTACCCAGCCAACTCTGATACCAGGCAGCGACAATGCTTAGCCAAATTGATGTGAAATTCAGTTACAAAGCAGTGATTGTCTTAGCATGCCTCATCCTTCCCTGATGCTAATAAAGCAAGTATCTCCTCCTCTTGTCATTACCATAGCTGACTAATGTGTTTCATACTATGATTGAGCTATTTAGCTCAACTTCATGCAACTATGTCACTAAGAACTGTATAATGTTTTCACTCAGCTCCTTGTAAGACCCACCTTGATGAGACAATCAGGATGCAGGAATTATCCTTAAAGAGCAAGCAATTCAGAAAACTGCTTTGACGTAGATGGAGCATGCTTTCAGCTTATTAGCCAGTGGCAAGCCAAAATTCAGCCATATCACAGAGCCTGCTCATTCTGCTTACAGTGGTTATGTCCTATTAAGCCATAATTCAAAATGGACACCTACTTTATGTTGCCTCTAAATTCAGAGGAGGAGCATATTAAGAGCATTAACAGCTTTTGAGATGAGCTAGTATAATAGAAGTTTCTCTTCGAAGATGAAATGAAAGTACATTCGAGATAAGAAATGGAAAGTATTAGTCTAGATTAAGGTAAAGTTCTCAGAGTAGAACAGCATATTCAAAGTACAGAATACTTCTATCTTACCTCATAGTCATTTCTGTTAACCACTTCATCAGCAGCATCTGTAAAGAAGTGACTGTAGTTTAGCCATTTGAGAAAAGACAAAACATACATTTACTGATTTCAGTAACTTGTATGGAAAGCTTTACTAGACTATCTAATATGGGAGCTATGCAAATAAGTGTTACTTTATACTTTGCAGGGTCACTTCCTTACCTCTGCAATTTTCCCCAATAGGCACAAGAAACTAAGCAACCCCTTATTCTGTAGAACTAGTAATACAAGATCATTTCTTCATCATGAGATCATGCTTCAGTCTACATAAACAGAGCTGATGCTGCTGAGAAGCTGCTACAGACAGTGTTCTTAAGTTACTTTCTCCTCCCTATCTTAGAAGGCTTAGTGACTACTAGACAACTGTTCAGACGTTAAGAAGCATGAATCACTGTTTTGGTCTCTACCTAGAAGATTAGCAATCCTGCAGCCAACACTTAGTAATTCTTATCCTAGTTTGGTTACCTCCTAATTCCTAATCAGCTCAAAAGATAAAGCTAACATGCCTAGCAAAGTCACCTTTCTGCTACCTTCTGTGATGACATGTTTGATAGCTTCCTATGTCAGCTGCAGCATTACTCCCTCTAGAAGTGACACTGGCAATAGAGCTTCAGGAAGAGGATCAGCGAGGAATGTTTGCACAGAACCCTCAGATTTTATCTTATTGAAAGACAGCCAAAGGGAACATATGTCAGTTGTAGGTGAAGCATTTAAATTCGTGAAGCTACTTACATCTACAGACTATGCAAAACACCAATATTTTAAAAAACTGCTAAATCTCAGCAACACCACATGTAACTGGCACAGTGTGACGTAACATCTGTTGATATGATATAACAAATCGTAACAAATCATGCCTACCCATGCCCAAAACCTTTGTACCACCCATAACGCTACCATGGACAAACTTATCACACAAAAGTGTTTCTGCCATGTTAGTACACTCTTCAATGAAAGAAGAGACTGTGCCAAAGTCACCAAGCAAAGCAAGCAGAAAATCAAGTTATCTTGCACCACCTTCTTAAATAAGATGGCTATTTCACCTACAACTACATTATGCTGCAGTATCCTCAATGTCTTTGTGGCTAGGTATGCCCCATCTTCACATTGGTAGTGTTATGGCACACGGGATACTCTTTTACACACGCGATACACATACTCTTATCTGGGAACTAGGCAAGTATGTATAAGTCCTGAGCCCTGAACAGCAATCATTAACTGTATCAGGTAGAGGACTGTAAACTCATCAGTTCAAACGTAGCAGTTAATTTGGAAGATGCTAGTATTCAAGAACACACTTAACTAGCTTCAGTAGAGGAGGACCCAAGTTAACAAAAACCAGATTTTCAGTTATGAGAACCTATTATTTTATAACTCGACTCCTATATCTGAAAGATGGTGGCTACTTTGTCCAATTCCTATTCCTCTGCAAGTTACAGGAGCCAAAAAGAACTGGTTTGAAAGGCACATAAACCTAAGAGCATCTGTCTGCTTCACAGCAGCTGCCCTGCGCATCACTTAACATCAAGCTGGAAGCTCCTTCAAAGCAGATCTGTAGAGGTCGCTGCACACGTGCTGTCTTGGGCAGTTACAGCTACATCTCACAGTTCTACTAAATGGGTTTATAAAGACTAAAGCCCACAAAGCAAACATGTTTACACTTCATTGTCCTTCAATTTAAGCCTATCTGCACTACAGACGCATGCTGCAGCTGTTCACCTTGGCTTGACAGGGCTGGAAATTAAGGCTAAGCCAGGCTCTATAACTCATCATGACATTAACAGCTTGAATAAGCCAGCTGCCCACTCTGCCCACCTTGGAAGAGCCAAGATCAATTCAGACAACCAAATTATAGACATTAGTTTATTGCTCCAACACTCAAGACAGGCTAGCCTTTTAAATATATGTAGTTCTTATCTCTAGAAAGAAGGCAGTTGTTTCATGAGAGACTCCTTGGGAAGCACTGACTCTCCAGCCAGGTGAGAGGGCTAGTAAGTCTTGATTCTTCCAAGAACTGTGATAATAAGATTAAGTTTTCTTGTTACAGCAAGAAACACCCATTAGGGTCACTGGTACTCATGCAGTAGTCTGCTGAGGTAAAAGGAATGACTTCATTGCTAAGGGCTGCAGCTGAAATGAAACAGATATATTTGTCTTAGGGCTGCATTTCTGCACAGAAACAGCCACTAACTGGCATAAAGCCAAGTGTTTCCAGAGGGCATCCAGGTCAGAAGCATTAAAAATATTAAAATAAACTTCCCTTCTGTTCTGAGCCCCCTAAAACTTGTGATTAAGATGCAGAGTCAGCACGCTAACTCTGCATACTGCAAGCAGAAGAGGAAATGGCACTGTAGCAGCATGCTGTCATATGCCAATACAAGTATGCTAACTGGACCAAGACCAATAGTCATTCTCTCACTTCAGCTCTCCAGTCCCAGTGTTTGTGTAATTCAGTAAGAAATCCAGAAAAACTACCTGCTTGCCAGCCTTCATATCAGTAATCAATGCTAACTGTGTATCAGATTTCCTGATCAGATTCTGTCCACAGAAACATGTAATTTTATACCTAACTTTCCACAGAAAAAGCCCAAATACTGTTACTGCTATCATCGTGTTTTCTTCGGCAATGAACAATGAGGGGTCTCTACTGGTTTCAGAGTCCACCTAATTCTATCATAGCATATGATAGCATCTTGAAGCTCCTGAGGTTAACACTGCACATCTACAACTAGCAGCTCTGGATATAGCAACAGAAGAACATAATCAAGTTTAACATATTCTGGCATAAGGTTAAGTAACTTCACCACTCAATGCCCAGTTTCCCATCCATTTTTCTTTTAGGCAGAGACTACACTTCTCCTTTACCTACCTCTCATCCATAGTAAGATGAGAAAGAAGAATCTTCTCCAAAGCTTTTGTTTAGATAGTTATGCAAGAAACTGAGGAAGAAATAGTTTTCTAGCCATAACTCATTCTTATGCTTGTGTGTAAAATACAGGCATGCAGGTCAGGAAGAGTGTTTCTTTCCCATGTTTTAGTTCTAACCCACTTGCATACCAAAACCCATTAGAGTTCCCTCATTTCCAATAATCAATAGGCTACTACTAGACGACAGCTTCCTCTCCGCAATAATGCTTCTGTAATTTCCCAACAGATACAGTATTCTCTTGTAAACAAAAGACAGGGTTTTCTGCCATAAGCTTCATAACAATGCAGTATCACCACAAGCCAGCAAATACAAGTTAGATCGTTACAAATACCATCCCTTTATTATACATTTCTCAGTGCTACTTTATCTGAAGCCTCAAGATTGAATAGCAAAAGCCAGAACAACAGCTGTTGAAACAATTAAGAAAAAAGTATCAATAGTCACAAACAGCTAACTGCTTTACTGTGTTTAAAATATCTGTGGTGATAACTAGAGAGACAGGGGAAACAGTTCTTTCCTAAATAATTTTCAAGCAAATTCATATTCAGTCCCTGAAAGGCTGTTAAATGTGGTTTAAGGACAAACCACCAAATGCAATTAAGTTTTTTAATTGTTAAAGACAGCCTCTTCAGAAGATGGAGAAACAGCATTCATTCAAGTTCATACTAAAGTGACAGAGCTTGAAACTGTGAAGGCAGTGTTTGAGACTAGATAGCCTACATTAATCTTGTATTTCCACAATTGATAACATAGAAAACTGCTTGTCTTTGAATGTAATTCTCCACAAGAAGCTACTTGACAAGTAGTCACAAGGGTTTTTATACTGACATACAGGTTCTAGAAGCCACACACTTCAACCTGAACTCACTCTCTCCTCCTTACAGGACATTGCAAGTCCTGTTATAACCTGAAGACCTAGTATTGTCAGACTGGAGAGAACTGAAGAGTTTGACTGTAAATAAATGCAGGCGTAGGTTTATCACTGAAAAGGAAAATTCATAAAGACCAAGTTACTAGTAACTAGGGAACAGCACTGTACCGCTTGATTTATATGGTACTTCCCATTTTCTCAAGTAGTGATTATGCTTTATCTTTCAAGGGAAATAAGATGTTTTCACATCCCCAGGAAGCTTGAACAAGATAGCTATTTACATAATAAATGGCCTACTGGTTCAGGCCAGTATTCCAACCCTGACCAGGTCAACATGAAGTGATTCTGAGTGACACACATGAGCTTGGCAGCATTCTGCTATTCCCCCCTATACTCATCCAGTATCAACCATTACTACAATTAACAGCAATATACACTAATACTAGTTTCCTGATATTTGTATTAACTATTCCCTTCTGTCCATGTATTTACGTAATCTTTTTTTAAGAGGCTTCAATTTAAAAACTGTTTGTTGTATGTGACACCATGTTTCTTACAAGTGTATTTCAAGAAGTTGTGTTTCTCACAATATTTGAAGTTAAAATCTTCAAACTTCAGCTGAGAGCTGCCTAAGTTTTTGGCCCAGTATTTAGAAAGAAAACTTATCCAACAGACCTGTAAAATAAGGAGTTCAAAAAGGTACAGTTAAAAAAAGTAAATCCACAAATCCCTGATTACGATGCTTAAGGATTTACATAAGAATCATTTGCCACCATGCCTGAGCTAGCGCATTTTGCACTGCTGCAGCCCACACTTTTTAACAAGGAGGGAGTTGAGTGCAGGCTTCAACAGTCAACAAACGGATATTATGTTAAAAAATGGGACCCCTAAAAGTCCACAAGCAACATTTAACAGGCTAGAGCATAAATGCAATCCCAGTGCATACAAGAAAGCAAGAGGACATACAGCTCACGTCTAAACTTCCCAGGAACTTACATCATATTATCATATTCATTATTTTATGACCCTCTTTCTACAGAAAGTTCTCCAGTAATAGTTTTGCATTCCATGACAAGTGAACTTAGGTGACTTGAGAAAAGCCTCTTGAAAAGCAATTAAAGAGCTACTTCCACATATCAAACCAATCCAGAAATATTTAACAAGGTGACTTTTTGACAAGAAATCACTCTGCAATAGCCACATTGCATGCACATAAAGAAAGTATAGGTCCCAGCACCTTGTGAGAAAGGCCAGTGTCAGAACTTTCTCCAAAGAAATTAGTCCTCAAACAGCTACTTTAATGTTCCAGAGCCTGTTTGGAATGTAAAGTCCATATAAGGGGCTCCTGAAAGTAAGAGAGGAAGTGTCCACTGTGTCTGTTTTTTGCAATATACACAGCATACAGAAGTCAAGTTACATCTGATATCAGAACAGGATGATGTTCTGATAATGATTATCCTCATACTATGGTACTTAAGCAAGTTATTCCCCAATAAACACCCTTTTTACAGGAAGTGTGTAGTCCATTAAGTTTTGAACTTCACGAATGAGCTGACTACAGGTGCGCTATCTCTAAATAAGGACTGGTAGCAGCAGGTCTCCACTACTCACTTTATCTAGTTGGGCTTTATTCTAAGAGATACTACAAACCCACATCCTGATACATAAAACATGCCAATGCTTTCAGAAATTAGGCTGCATAATGAAGACTTAATTCTGAAGATGTTCTAACCGGGAAGCAAAGTTATTCAACTTAATCTGAAGGAGAGTAGCATCTTCCTGAAGCAACAAAGAAATACCCTATGACCTGGTGACAAGTACCAGCAAAGTCTTTCAAGGATGCTGAAAGATCAGACAGCATCATCCTGCTTTCACAACTCCTCTCCACTTAAGACTTCAGTTAAAAACCCTAAACCTTTCGTAATCAGAAGTGTTGACTCAGGGCTGCTTCAGCTACCGCTAAACTAACTGAAAACACACTAACCTCTAGTTCCCAGCATACACAGCCACTCTCCTCTGAACGCGACAGTGCATTCTCCGCTGGCGGTTCTCTCACATTCAGTACAAAGGTTACCAAGGAACAAAGGCTAGAGGATTAGTAAAATTAAACATTAGCTTGACTGCTAGCGTACTTTAAGACTAAAACTAAGATCACTGCTTCTGAAGACAGAAACACAAGGGGCAGAACCCAACATACCCCGCTTTCAGGGGATCTACACTTCAGGCACGCTCCTGGATTAGAAGAGATCAGAGTTACTCAGCAGTGCATTCTTAACAGGCTACACCTGGGCAACCCCGGGCACCCCGGCCTCTCCAGGAGATACAAACCGTGAGCTCCACCGCGTCCGGGGGAGCAGGGAGAGATCACTTACACACGGCAGAGCACACGCAGGGCGGCCGAGACGGCATGCCTGCGCGGCCCAGCCCTAATCCCGAGACCACCCGCAGGCAGCCGGGCCCCACTCACCGGCGGCATGTGCTCGGGGAAGAAAGCCTAGGCGCGGCCCCCGCCGGCACCGCCCCTTCCCGGCCACGGGGCCTCGGAAGGAGAGGGGAAGCTGCGGGGCCCCACCGGGCTAGGACCCGACCCTCCCCGCCCCACCCGCTGGGCACGGCGCCTCGCTCCACAGGTATCCCGCCACGGGTAAGGGCGGCGGAGCGGAGCCCGCCGCCCCCTCCGCGCGTACCCAAGTCGAGGTCGTCCGGCACCTCGCCGTCCTCCAGGATGTCGTAGCCCTCATCGTTCTCGATACCCGCGATCTCGTTCTCCTGCTGCGCCAGGAAAGCGGCGGCAGGATCCTCGTCGGCGTCGGCCAGCGCCCCGTTACCGCCGGCGGCGGAATGCGGCTGGGCACCGAAAAGCTCCTGATCGGCCATGGGCACGAGAAGCGACGGCAGCACCGGAGCGCGAGCGACTGCGGCCTCCGCGCCTGCGCCTGCAGCAGAAATCAGCGCGGAAGGGAAGGGAGGGGGGCCCTCCGCGGGGCCAATGAGAGCCGAGCACCGCCCAGCAGCAAAGCCAATCGGCGCGCGGGGAAGGCGTGGCTAACGGAACTCTCTGCGTGAGGCGTTGGGCTCGAGCCAATCAGCGCCAAGAGCGTCGCTGGGGGGGGGGGCGGGAGGCCGGGGTCTGGAGGCCTCCGTCTCCCCATACGGGCTGCGGGGGAGCCGGCCGCGTCCGGGGAGCCGGCCGCCCAGGCAGGCGGAGCCCGGCCCGGCAGGCCCGGTCGGTCCCTACAGGTCTCCCTCCAGCATTGAGTCTGCGGCAGGGAGCGCCTGTCCGTTGCGTTCCTGTCAGAGCACCCCGCTGAGTGGAGCTGTGCTCCCTTCCCGCCAAAGGGCGGGCGCGCCGCTTGAACCCGGTGCCGGCGGGGTATGGGCGCAGTGCAAACACCAGTGCCGGCACAACGTCGAGCCAACGGCGTCTGGGAGGCAAACCTGCACCAGCAGAATAGGTCAATTAAAGCAACAGTGGATTTTCTGCTGTGACTTTGCGTGGTTTCTGTCTGATACTGGGAAGCTTAGACTAGTGTGATTTCAAGCACTGTGTATTCCATTGGACCATATGGAACCAAAAGTATTTATTTGAAAAACGATGATTTCTGACACACAAGATTTTATTGACAAAGTAACTTTGAGGGGTTTCTGTATCTGCAAATACTTTGTTGGCACAGCAAAGACTAAGGGGAGGGAAAAATAATGTAGAAAGGATAAAGTTATGCTGGCTCTCAAGATCATAGGATCATAGAACCATAGAATCATAGAATCATAGAATGGTTTGGGTTGGAAGGGACCTTAAAGATCATTGAGTTCCAACCCCCCTGCCATGGCCAGGAACACCTCCACTAGAGCAGGTTGCTCAAAGCCCCATCCAGCCTGGCCTTGAACACCTCCAGGGATGGGGCATCCACATGGGCATCCCTGGCAACCCTGGGCAACCTGTTCCAAAGTTAGTTCCAGGCAGTGCAGTTGCTGCAAGAGGTACTTGTTAAACTCTTACCCTTTGCCAATAAGCCTGTGTGTATGTTGCATGAGGTATTAGAGATATGCCGCCCAGGCTTGTGTTATAATGCCATTCAAACATGCTTCAGAAGGTGGCCAAATTCAGAGAAAAGTGTAACTCTGCAAGTCAGTTTGTTCCAATGTGGATTGAAGAATGTGAGCTAAACAGTATGTTGAGTTACACTTTCTTCCCCACTGTCAGCATCATTTGCTAAGGAAAAAAGAGCAAGCAAACTCATGCCATATGACAGAAAGCTCCCTTCACCCCACTTACTCAATTTGAACATGTGCCTGGTTTCTCCTGTGAAAATGCAGAATCTGGAATGACAGGAGCCTAGATTTCCCTCTGTTTTGTCTTCTAGGAGAAACACAGCAAGGTTATTTATTTTAAATAATGTCCAGAAGCCACAGGAAAACTAAAGAGTAACAGCAGTAAGCAGACCCAAAATTCACAATAGGAGACTAAAACCGAAACACCATCATTAAGTATATGCCATGCTTTCACAGAAACTTGCTTGCTTTGTCCCATAATTTGTTCCAACAACTCACTCCCACGTGTATTCTCATCACTCCTCTTTCCTTATATGTAAACAAAAGTGCAATATCTCACTACTTCTCTTTAACTGTGAATAGTGAATTTTGGATGACAACCTAGCAACTTCCTCTTTCACTCCTCCAGTGCCTCTTAGCCCTGTGGGAGATTTTTGATGACTTAATGGCACAAACACAAATAGAATACTGTGATTTAAAATGGAAAGCCAAATTGTTTACTTGCTTGTCTTAAATTTGCAGAATAGGGGTGAAAGCATATGAAATACAAGTGGAATTACAAGTTTGCAAATGGCTCAATAAAATTGTTATCTGTATTCCATCAGAACAGATAACTTCATCTTATTTGCTTTAGATACAAAGGAAAATACTGTGGGTCATTAGACGTGTCTTAATGATGAACTCTAAAATTTGTATGCTCTCTATAATTCAAGTGCACTGTGAAGTACTTTTGCACCATCAAAGCTGTTATCTTTTTCCTTCTTTCTTACTCTGCAAAAAGAAGTCAAGACAATGCCTTCTTTAAAGGCAGATGTCAATGCTTAGAGACCACTAGGCAACATGAGTAGTACCCTTCATAACTCATCCGTAGTCATTTGTTGATGTGTTACACTGAGAAGAGTTTATTACAGGAATGTTACATGAATTAACCTTGAAGTAAAGATTAAAAGCCAATTAGGCTACAAAAGACTTTCAGGATGGTCCTGTTTATCTCCATTCTTTGAAAGATGATGCCATAGAATTCCAGTTTCTAAATGTACTGAGATCTGTTTCAAAAGTAATTTTAAAAGGTGTTTTCAAGCATTTGTGAAAATATGGGATTGCAGTTCCGGACTTCCAACATTAAAGAAATCATTGCAACAAAGTAGTGGGATTTTTACTGAGTCTTCAGAATGTTTTTGATTTAAGAAATTAAACATATAGTAGAACAGATGTTTCCATAGCAGAAAATTTAAATGCAAGTCCTTGCAGCTCTCTGGAAACATGCAGATGAGAAAGGCACTGTACAACCGACAGCTGGACATGAGCCATATCGCAGGAAATCTCTCTAATTAGAATCTCATTGCACAAGATCCAACAGCGAACAACAATTAGAAAGGGAAAGCACATAATGACTATGATCTGGTCCAGGTCCATTGAAATAAATTAAGAGGTTACCTCAACCTGCTGATGGCTAGGGACTTTCAAGCTATACAAAAAAGCTATAGAAAAAAACCCAGATTTTCAGTTATGAGAACCTATTATTTTATAACTCGACTCCTATATCTGAAAGATGGTGGCTACTTTGTCCAATTCCTATTCCTCTGCAAGTTACAGGAGCCAAAAAGAACTGGTTTGAAAGGCACATAAACCTAAGAGCATCTGTCTGCTTCACAGCAGCTGCCCTGCGCATCACTTAACATCAAGCTGGAAGCTCCTTCAAAGCAGATCTGTAGAGGTCGCTGCACACGTGCTGTCTTGGGCAGTTACAGCTACATCTCACAGTTCTACTAAATGGGTTTATAAAGACTAAAGCCCACAAAGCAAACATGTTTACACTTCATTGTCCTTCAATTTAAGCCTATCTGCACTACAGACGCATGCTGCAGCTGTTCACCTTGGCTTTCCCACCTTGGAAGAGCCAAGAACAATTCACACACTCAGACAACCAAACTATAGACACTAGTTTATTGCTCCAACACTCAAGACAGGCTAGCCTTTAAATATATGTAGTTCTTATCTCCAGAAAGAAGGCATTTGTTCTGTGAGAGAGGCTCCTTGGGAAGCATTGACCCATCAGGTAGGTGAGAGGGCCTGAAGGGTCTCACTCTTACTTCAGATGCATATTGTCAAGCATGTGTCTTCTGCTACAAGGTCTCCAGTTATCACAGCAAGCCAACGCTACTTTCAGTTTACCATGCTGATTTTTTGCCATGAGAATTCAACTGGGTGGAGTAAAGAGGAGATGCTGCTGGTAGTGCCTGCTATGTTAAACACAAACCTCCCAAGATAAGAGGTGCAGCTGCGTTTCAAAGAACACCCAGAATTAGAAGGCAGAGTAAGAGAGAAATGTACCTATCATGAATAAACAAGTGGTGCAGTCACAGCAGTGCTTGGTATTTCAGTAGAATCTGAACAAGCAGAGGGTAGAGATTGTACCATGCCTAAGGGAAATACAGAGTTGCACAAAGATGAACAAAGCAGAGGGACAGAGTGTTACAGCAGAACAGTAGGAAATAATATGATGAGATCAGGGACGAGTGGTATAAAGAGGTAGGTTTGCAAATATGGGGACAAGATACTTGAAATAATATGAATTACAGAAGGAGCAATATAAAGGTAAAGCCTTGGGAACATGATATTGTAAAGCCACGTTTTGAATCTATTGAGTAGGGCTAAAGAATCCAGAGAACAGAATTCAATGTGGAGGTTTTTTAAGCAATTAGACATTAAGCATTACTTTCTTCTACCAAAAGAAGTGGCAGGTGAGTCACAGAATTGATTAGGCTGGTTAGTCCAACCTGCTTGCTCAAGCAGGGTCAGCAAGAGCAGGCTTCCCAGGACTGTCTCCGATCTGGTTTTAAGTATTCTTTACAGATGAAGACTGCACACTCCTACTGATTTGTAGCTGCAAGAATTCAACACTTCTGTAAATTAAATCATAATGTCTTGAATAAGCCAGCCATAAGATAAAGAATTCAAATTGGCAATTAGATGTGAAAAGCCTGTTTTAGCGGTTTGCCAAGTATTATCCAGCAACTCTGCAGCAGGGTGCATCAGCACTGACTCAATTTAGGGACTAGCTTTTCTCTTCCCTAAACTTTTTATCACTGTCAGCCTGCTATCTTCTAAAACACAGAATATACAGACTTTAGAACACTCACCTCCACTACACTTGGTACAGCCTGGGGCAAGATTCCTTTCAGGGCAGATATTTTGCTGACTTATATTTACTATATGCTAAAAAAAGGGCAAAAATGATGACTGAAAACCACTCTTAAAACTAGCAGCCCTTACCCTTTGAGGTTTTTCTAGTTCTAAGTATGGGCTTTGTGTCATAGCCCTAGTCATGTGCATTATCAAAACAAAAAGCAGTGTGTCCCAGTGACACACACAGGGTTGGAGCTTGCAGCTCTCTGCTCCTTCAGCACAGGAAATAACTGAAGGAGATAGTTGTGCTGAAGAAGGAAGAAAATACGCTGATGGCAGCCTCTGATTAAATTCAAGATCTTTACCAATTTTGAATGTGTTCTAATGGATCGAAGCCCTTCACCTGTGACTTTTTAGGAAAAAGATGTTTAACATCATCTGTTCTGTATCCTTCACTGTCTCTCTCCTGCTTTTTCTCATGCAGACTCATTATTCCTAGTCCCATTTGTCTCATATTACCCATATGACTAGGGAAAGGCTCCTTGAGTTTCATGA